TTTGTATTTTTTCACACAACATTCGAATGTGCAAGTAGAGAAACATGCCTCTGTCCTCTGTAGGGACGCAGCGTGGACTTAGTTTAAAACAGTTCATCTGTGTGTTTGCCCTAAAGCTGCTTTTCGAGAGCATAACATGGTGCCACTGATAAAGAGTCGGTTAAGTAATAAGGTAGAGCCTGACGTCAGTTGGCTTCAGTGTGGGCCATGGTAGTAGTTTGTCAGAAGTGCTTTCACTTCTGCAGTTAGCTGTGGCCCCAGATTCAATCAGGACAAGTGTCTGGGTGTCCATCATGTGACCTGTTTTACACTGTTAGCTGTTTTAACGACATAGACATGCTGTATGCCCCATCACTGCTGGAGATGTGTCCTGTCTGTTATTTGATGCCCACTTTTTGGAGTTTGATAACTTCTTACATGTCTCTGTTTGTACTTAGTCTCCTTTGGTTTTGACCGGCATTGTCTTGCAAAATGGTTAAACTTGCCACAAGCTTTGCATTCTTTGTTTTTGGTTGGGTTTTTGGTCATATCATAAGGGCAGCTGCCTCCACAGATTCTAGTGATTGTCAGGTTGCTTTTTGAGTGACCAGTTGCCACTGGTTGGGCTTTTGTGTCCAGTTTTGTGGTACACTTTGTTGACTGGGGCCTTGTGTCCATGTTCAGTGCCTGTAGCTTGCATTTCAGACAGCTCACATGTATGGCCATGGTTTAGAATGTCCTCTAGTGTTATCAGGCTCTCTCAGTACTTTTCTAAGCTGATGTGCAACTTTGTATTTTTTGTGTCTTGATTTCTGCCTTCTCCTCTTTTCTTACACAGCAACCGGTTTTGTTCAAATGACTCAACCATAGTCTCATTCAAAAAACTGTAAGTTTGTGTTTTGCCATTATCATTACAGTCTACTTGTGTACAGAGTGTAGAAAATAAAACCACAACCTTAAGTTAAGTCAGTGGTTTTGTGTGTTCATTACATGGATATGAGCCATAGCTCCCTGGAGGTGTGATTCTCACTGTAGGCACTGCGCTGTCTGAGGCTTGGTTAGACTTGACCTTAAGTATTATTTTAACACAATCTGACCATCAAGAACTGGTTTAGTTGGAACTACAACAGGTGAGCTGATTTGTTCTGTTAAACAAGTCAGTTTTTAAACTTAGACTTCGACAAACTTTATTTATCCACAAGGGAAATGTCTTGGACACAGCAGCTCACACATCACAATATAATATAATAAAATAAAGAAAAATATGAATGGTAGAATACATTCTAAATAAGAAGCAGAAATAGCAAGAGACTGGTGACAAAGCATAATTATATAAAAGTAAATGTATAAATAAAAATAAAATATAGAAATATAGTAATATAAATATATCTCAGCTTTATACAAGAGGTCGTAGGAAACAGTGCAAAAATGATATGACTGACAGGACATAGGGTTATCTGTTCCATAAGGGTGAGTTGTTGTGCAGTTGTAGGGAGTATTATCTGTTCCATAAGGGTGAGTTGTTGTGCAGTTGTAGGGAGTATTATCTGTTCCATAAGGGTGAGTTGTTGTGCAGTTGTAGGGAGTATTATCTGTTCCATAAGGGTGAGTTGCTGTGCAGTTGTAGGGAGTATTATCTGTTCCATAAGGATGATTTGTTGTACAGTTGTAAGGAGTATTATCTGTTCCATAAGGGTAAGTTGTTGTGCAGTTGTAGGGAGTATTATCTGTTCCATAAGGGTGAGTTGCTGTGCAGTTGTAGGGAGTATTATCTGTTCCATAAGGGTGAGTTGTTGTGCAGTTGTAGGGAGTATTATCTGTTCCATAAGGGTGAGTTGCTGTGCAGTTGTAGGGAGTATTATCTGTTCCATAAGGATGATTTGTTGTACAGTTGTAGGGAATATTATCTGTTCCATAAGGGTGAGTTGCTGTGCAGTTGTAGGGAGTATTATCTGTTCCATAAGGATGAGTTGTTGTACAGTTGTAGGGAGTATTATCTGCTCCATAAGAGTGAGTTGTTGTGCAGTTGTAGGGAGTATTATGTGTCCCATTATAGTCTGGTAAAGTGGGTGAGCAGGAGTGTCGATGATGGAGAGCAGTTTGTCCAGTGTCCTCGTGTCCCTCACTGTGACAGACGTCTCCAGCTCACAGTGGATCACATGAGCAGTTTTATGGATCAATTTTTCAATCTGCCCAATGTGCCTTTTTCTGGAGCTGCTCTTTCAGCAGACCACAGAGAAGTACAGGGCACTGGCCTCCACAGTCTGCAAGAAGATCTTCAGGAACTTACTGCGCACATTGAAAGGCCTGAGTTTTCTCAGGAAGTCAAGTCTCCTCATGCTCTTCTTGTACACAGTCTTTCTGTTGTCCAGTCTACCACTCCACAACATCTGCAATTAGTGTCCTGTACTCCAGCTCCTGTCCATCTCTGATAGACCCAGCACCTGCCCCAGCACCTGCCCCAGCACCTGCCCCAGCCCCTGTCCATCTGACTGTGAATGGGACTTTTTTAGTATTGATACTTGTTCAAATGAGTACCTAGTTTCAGTAGTTTTAGTATTGATTAATATTTGATCAATACTTTAACAACCCTATTCAAGTGAAAATTTGAATACAGAATACAGATTAAATTTCCGCTTTGTGAAACAAAAGGGACCATCTCGCTGGGACGCTAACCACTCTGCCACAGCACACCTTTGTTTTTTATTTGGCTGTTACAGATAAAGTAAACATGTTTGTCTTCCAGGTCCCATGATGCTCCCAGCAGGTCCCCTTGGTCTCACTGAAAACTGGTCTCTGGTCTGGTCTCTGGTCTCTGGTCTGGTCTCTGGACTCTGGTCTAGTCTCTGGTCTCTGATCTGGTCTCTGGTCTGGTCTCTCTAGTCCTGTTGTTTTTTCCAATTTAACAAGGTCCTGGGAGGATGTGGACTTTGATTAAAGCGTCTCCGTCCTTCTCTCGTCTGCACTGTCAAACTGTCACACTGATTTTGTATTTTTGCCTGTAGTGGTCCACGGACTTCTCCTCGTCTATGTACTCTTATACTTGTTCTACTGCAGCTCAAGATCAACTTATTTAATGTTTAATTCTAAATCCTGTTTTTAAATGATGTGTTGTGAGTTATATTTTAAAAACATCTTATCTTATTTCAGTCTATTAATGTTTTAGAACCAGATATTAACAAAAGCTTAGTCCAATTTTAATCAAAGGAATTGCCAATGTTTTTTCTGTGCTCAAAGCCATTTATTGACTACAACCAAGTAGACCAGGACTAGACCAGGTCCAAACCAGGACTACATTAGGACTAGACCAGGACTAGATCAGCACTTTTCAGAACCATGTATTAACAAAAGCTCTGTCTGGTTTTAATTGATGGAATTGCAAATATTTCCAGTGTTTAAAACCATGTATTCATGTATCCATTCAACGATTCAGTCTAAATGCTTCTAACTTAATCCCAACAAGACAAGTGGTTTAGCCTGAACAAATGTTACTATTCAAAATTCCATGTGTCTGTGTCTATGTTTCATTCATAACTTGTGTGTCTGAGTCTTAGAAACAACTGTTCAAATAGTATATTTTACTCCTCATCTTTGGAGCAGGTTTTGTTCAGCGTGGTGTTGTCACGATACCAAAATGTCAAATGTGATTTCGATACTAAGATAGACTGGATGCTCAATGCAGATTCTGATGCCACGATGGTAGTAAAAAGCACTCCTTCTTTAGATAACCGAATGTGAGTTTGCACATGTGTGTAATCCTCAGTGGTGCAGGCAGGTCTCATTGTGGTGCGTGGGTGTAGTCTATGTGGTTATACTTGTTCTGATACAGCTCAACATCAAGATCTTCTGAAGCTCCAGGAAAGGTTGATCTCTGTCCTGTCGATGGGACGTGTTTAGTATTGATACCTGCTCAATATTTTTGCATTTTACTTTATTTGTGAATGTGAAGTCATGCTCTTTGTTCAAATGTTTTGTTTTTCCAAATCTGGAATTTTGCAGCCAGAGATGAACCACTTTCAGGCTTTGACTTTGTTTTTCATTTTTTGTCAGTAGATTGATGCAAAATACTTCAATGTTTTCAGCTGTTTGTGTTTCTCAAACAACTCGATTTGTTTTGAGCAAAATCTCATGTTTCATTTACTGTGTCACTGTTTTTAGGAGATGTAATTACTAGTAAGAGTTTTTCATTGGAAAAATTTTGGAATTTTAGAAGCTCAATGCAAAATATTAAAAAAAATGAATCAAAAGTGACAGAAAAGAAATAATTGCTCTTTTTTTTTTTTTTTAAAAAGGTACAAAATTGTTAACTGCTTATAAATTGCTTTAAATTTTAACTTTAATAATGTTTAGTGTTTTATTTTTCACCAAATTCTTACAAAGAACTCAAATTTCATTTGACAAATTTGTGATTTTTCAGACAATTTATGACATCTTTACAGCTTACATGATGATGTATTTGTTTGTGACTTGAACGTTTGTAGTTTAGTTTAGTCTTTATAAAACAGATCAGAGCTACAGCTTTTCCATCTGCATTCTCTCAAAGATTCATGTTTCTGTCCAGAATTTTTGAGTTTTTAAATTTTATTTATACGTGGTTTGTGGTTTAAAATCAGAAAGGCTGAGATGAATAATGATAATATCCAGTGCCTTCATCTATTGTAAATGATCAGTGACTGTGAGAGTTCAGGGTAAAGCCTTTTTAGCAGAGCTATGATACTCTCTTATTTCTAATGGAAGCAAACAAGTGAATTCCACTGCACAGGTTCAAATGTTTCACTGTCTACACACGTTTATGATGGAACGTTTGAAGAGCTGTGATCATGTGATCAGGAGATGACGTCATGTCAATCAGAATCGTTTCATTTGTGTTGACGTCGGTGTGAATCTTTTAACATCGGACACTCCGCAGCACTTTACTGTGACCTGTTCTGGCTCTGGTCTGGTCTGGTCTGGTCTGGCTCTGGCTCTGGTCTGGCTCTGGTCTGGCTCTGCTCTGGTGTGTCTTTTGTGTGTTGCTGAAGATGAACTCCTCCTCGTCTTCTTCTTTGGTCCTGCTGGGCTTGGAGCAGTTGCGTCCGGTTGGCTGGCTGCTGTTGCTGCTGCTTCTGTTCGTGTGGCTCTTTGTGGTTCTGAGTGATTCTCTCCTGATCTTTGTCATCATTTCACGACGTGTTTTGCACAAACCCATGTTTGTCTTCATCGCCGCTGTTCTCGCAAACTCACTCATAGCGAGCAGCATCGTCTACCCGAAACTCCTGCGAGACTTGGGTCAGATGGGTCTAAGTCCTGGTCCAGTCCGGGTCTCTGTGGGGGCCTGTCTGACACAGGCCTTTATGCTGCATGCCATAGGCAGCTCCAGCTTCATGCTGTTGGGGGCGATGGCTCTGGACAGGTATATGTCCATCACGTGTCCTCTGCAGTACACTGTCCTCATGTCTCCTCACTGTGTGCTGACTCTTCTGCTGCTGTGCTGGCTCTGTCCTCCGGCTCTGGTTGGCTCAGCGATCGCCCTGACGAGCCGCCTGCCACTTTGCTCCAGCACGGTGCAGCGGATCTACTGTGACCCGTACACGGTGATTAGTGTGGGCTGCCCAGGCGCCATGGCACGGCTCACGGCGGCATATGGCCTCTTTGCGATGGTGCTGGTGCTGTTCGTGCCCGGGTCGTTTGTGGTTTTCTCTTATGGCAGGATCCTGTGGGTTTGTCTGTTCCGCTCGCGCTCCTTTAGCCGTAAGGCTTTGCAGACGTGTGTGCCGCACATCGCCGTGTTCCTCAACTACCTGCTGAGCACGGCCTTTGACCTGCTGCACCGCCGCGTGTCCACCGGTGCTGGAGCGAGCCACGCCATGGAGGGTCTGGCCACTGCAGCCTCCCTGTTAACAGTGATGATTCCCACCGTGTTTAACCCGCTCGTGTACGGACTCAAAGTCTCTGAGATTTACCAGCAGCTCGGCGCTGTGCTGCAGCGCTGAGCCCCACAGGCAGAGAGCAGCGCTGGAGAGACACGCTGTTTCTCCACCTCAGGGACTGTTGTGCTGTAAACGCTCAAACCCTGAATCACTGAAAACAATAGTAAATGTAAAATAACAAATGTTTGTACTCTTACGTCTGGTGGTTTAGTTCTTCTCTGTGCTCACTGAGAAAGTTCATTTGACTTTAAAGACTTAAAGAAACCTTTAAGATTGTCAGACGTGGAGATGCTGTGCTGATTGGGCTGAACGACCTGACCTGTGTAGGTGAACACTGCACCAGTGACAAAACCACACATGGACATGACTTTTTCAGCATTTTAGAGCAATTCATGAGCAACACTGAGGATATACACTCTTAGGCCAAAAAACTGATGAACTGTTAGAGAGAATGGACAAAATAATGAGAGAGGCGTTCGCTACAGGCACCGCCAGCCATCCTGATGATAAACCTTCTAAAAAATCCAAAACTGTTGCCAGCGATGGGGACGATGACAGATTCATCTCTAACGCCCTCATTTTTGTGGCAACTGAAAGCAGGCCTATAACGATAACAGATTTTGCTTTACGATTAATTGACTAAGAAATTATTGCACTAAATGGTAATATTGACATTTTGAGACCATTTTCAACTAATATGATGACAAAGGAATAAAAATGCAAGCCTGGAAAGAGGCTCCGGGGAAGACCCAGGGCATGGTGGAGGGACTTCGTCTCTCAGCTGGTCTGGTCTTGGGTTCCCCCCGCAGGAGCTGGAGAAAGTGTCTGGGGTGAAGGAAGTCCCTACACAGACTGCTGCTCCCACGACCCAGCCCTGGAAAAATGGAAGAAAATGGATGGATGGAATAAAAATGCAAATACAACTTTTCAAAGGTCAATAAACTTTACTTTCTGAGGACTTGTTAAGAAAAAATGCACTTGAATAAACCATTGCTGAACCAAACACAACCAGAACAAGAAATACAATAGATTATTACATCTTTGTAACAAAATTGCCTTTAAAAGTGATTCAACATTAGGCTCAGACAGGGAAAACAAGCAAAACAAAGTGCCAGTTAGGACCTTAACTAAAAAGTTCAAACTAACAACAAAAACTTTCCACATCAATAAAAGCAGATTACTCATCAGGTCATATGGAAATCTGTAGCTCTACTTTAGTCTGGCAGATTCTGAGCAAGAAATACCAACATGTTGTCTTTGCCTCCTAGAACCTGGTGTGGTGGACATATGTGTCCAACACACTTTGGGTTGTTCAGGCACTTTGTGACTTTATTGTGTTCCATAAAAATGATTAAAACATAAAATGTTTTATATATTACTGGACATCCTGATCCCCAAGTTAGCTGTTAAAGAGTTTTTCAAATGCTGTATAGACGATTCTTTGTCTTATTTTATCAAAGGGTATTTCTCAAAGTGTATTTCTCACGGGAAAACCAACTTCCCATTATCCGTTATCTTCTGCAAGGACAGTCCTCCCTACGCACTTCCCTCCCTACACCTCAGCAGCTGACACCCACACAATACACACTTTTATTTTCTGTGTTTTTTACTGTGATAGAAAAATGTAACCGCCCATTTATTCTTGTAACCTGTGTGATTCAATAAATATGTGACCTTGGACAGTGGCTCTCGGCAGTTTAAGAGAGGTGTAGCAGCACCTCTGTCCTTCGCCGCGAGTAAAAACCCTGAATTCTGCCTTCTGAGTTTCTTTGTGTTAATATCTCTGTTATTTTCTGACATTAGCCAAGCTGGGGCTCCCACCATCCACCTGCTCCTGGATTAAGGACTTTCTGGTCAGTCGACCCCAGCAGGTGAAACTGGGTCCCCACTTGTAGCCCACTTCTGTACTCTACACACACGACTGCAGAGAACATCATTGTCAAATTTGCTGATGACAGGACGGTGGTGGGGCTGATAACAGAAGAGAATGAAGCGCCGACAGAGATGAGGTCCTGAAACTCAATGGTGTGCAAATAACAAGTTGGCACTGAACATCACCAAGACTAAGGTGCTCAGGAAGGAGCAACTAAACACAAGCTGCTGGTGACCTTCTATCGTTCCACCATTAGTCACCTGCTGACCTCTGCTGTGACAGTGTGACTTTCGCTGCACAGAGGCTGACAGGAAGCGTCTACAGAGCGTGACCAACACTACACAGGACATTATTGGCTGTCCTCTGCCTTCCATACCCACCATCTACAACTCCCACTGTCTCAGCAGAGCCAGGAACATCATTAAAGACAATACACCCCCCAGCTTCCACCTCTTCAACCTGCTGCCTTCTGGCAGGAGCTTCAGGTTCATACCAGCCAGAACAAATAGACTTAGAGACAGCTTCTTTCCCAAAGCCACACTGAACTCAACTTTGCGCTTAGAACTGTTCATTTGTGTGCAGCTCTGCAACTCATTATACTTTGTGTAATGACAATAAAGGCTTTCTATTTCATTCTATATTATATGTGGACATAATTTTTCTCAGAAACTACATCATGTAAAAGTATAATTCTTTGGGATCTGACGAGTGCAAAAACAATCAGCCCAAATAACAAAGAGAAATCAATAAAGCATACCATGTTCAGGTCCGAGGTGTAGCAAAGTTACCAGCTGTGCTAAACATTCTCTCTGAGCTGGAGCTTGTTGCACAACTGCACATGTATTTTTGAGCCAAGTTGGCCAATAAAGGATATGTTTCACCCCACCACATCAAGGGATCACAAGATGCATCAAGTGCAGCTTCTTGGAGAAACTTGGTCAGCTCTGCGTCAGCCTGTACTCTTTGATAATGGGCCTGACCTGTGAGATGAGCTTTTCTGTTTTGAAGAAGGTCACTCAGCCTCCTCTTCGCAGCAGCAGTATGTTCCTCCTCATTTCCTCAAGCAACATTGCTGCAGCACTCACCACTGGCACATTCTCCACTTCCTATCAGTCAGGACCCTGCACATGTGTCGTTTAATACTGGCTGTCAGTGCAGCGTCACTGAGGCCTGGAGAGAGAAGGTCGTCTTTACTCAGTTCCAGCACAGGCTTAACTGACAACACGGTGACATATGTCAACCAGTGGTGTCATTAATGTGTTGATGGACTCCTACACAGAAACATCCTGCCAGGTTGGGCTGAGGTGGCCATGTTTTCTGTCTTTAATCAGGACACATCTTATGGCTGGGAGTTGCTTCAACACGCTCTCTACCATCTTCTGCTTACTGCCCCATCATGGGACAACATCCTGTGGGAAAGATAATATTGTTCTTGTTCAGTATTTAGTCTATAAATCCCAAAACATGCTACATAGGTCTCCATAAACAGTTGATAGTCATGGTCAGTTAAAATACAATCAATTCAATCATTGTGTCCTTAGGCAAGACACTTCACCCACATTGCCTAGTATGAAAGTGGTGTGTGTGTGAGTGCTGGTGGTGGTCGGAGGGACCGATGGCGCCGAGTGGCATGGCAGCCGCGCCTCTGTCAGTGAGCCCCAGGGCAGCTGTGGCTACAATAGTAGCTTATCATCACCAGGGTTTAGAGTGAATGAATAATGCTGTATGAATGAATGCTGAATGAATAGTGCTGAATAATGCTGTGTAAAGCGTCTTTGGGGACAGAAAATGTCTGTGAAAGCGCTATATAAATAAAGACTTACTTACTTACTTACTTACTATAACAACATTCTTAAACAAATGCTACTTTACATTTCCATTATATTTCGTTATCAATCTGTATGTTGTATGGTACTTTTATATGCCAGTGCATACAAAGAGGCTACAGTTTCAGTTTGATTCTACAGTCTATAGGTCTGCAGGCTACTATAAAAAACTACTTTAAATATTTTGTGTTGCAAATTTAAGCTCATTAATGAATTGAACATCACTCACCAGTATTGCACTGTGTTGGGGGAGATGAGCCTCACTCTGTGCCTTCCTAAGGTCTCTCCTCTAAAGCCAGCTCAGGTTAAATACCCTCACCAAACTTTTACAGAGTCCTATGGTATGCTCTGTCTGTTCTTTGTTGCTGTCCAGACCATGAGATACGGCAAGATGGAGGCTGTGGCCAAAGCAATTCAGCCATTGCCAGTCAAGATTCCTTATTGCAACAACAATGTTAACACCATTGTCTGTAGTGATGCAGTTTGTGCTCATCCAGTTCAAGTGTGTCAGCAGTGGTTTTCTGGGACATGTCTGGTCTCTAAACACTTGGAATGCAGGGTCCAGTCAGCAGTTCTGTAGTCTATGTTCAAACTTATATAAGGTGTCATGTTAGAACTTGATATCTTTAATATCTGTAAGTATATTGACTTATGCTGTTGTAGAAGTTATGGAATTGCCATTTGTGACATGTATGTTCTCAAGGGCAATTCGTAACTGTCAGATGTTTGCAGCATTTTTTAAAAGTTCATCTTTTCAACAAGATTGAACAGCAGCATCTCTTTAGTGAGTAAACGAACTACACTGTCTGTAAGTTTGCACCATTTTGCACTGCCCTGCTTGTATTTGGTTTGTCAATTAAACCCCCCAGTGATTGCGAACTGTCGGGTAGAAGGTGTTGTAGTTTTTTCCCTAGTTGGGAAAACTGCACCGGGTGAGTGTGTTGTAAGTGCAGCTGCTTGTTTGTTGTATTGCCGTGTTTAGATGATTCCGTTTTACCACAAGTGCGACATATCACCTCTCACAAGTTAAGTGGTTCTCCTCTATCATTTGGTTGGAATCCAAAGTGGTCCCACTGCAGCTTTTTTGTTCAGGTTTGAAACTAATTCCATCTGTTTTCAAATCTCTACTAGCTTCTGACTTTCTACTACCTGCTACTCTGTGGAGGCATGAGACAAAGAGATGGGCAGGCATAGACCGGATTATCAGTCTACAGCACTTCAGGCCAGAGTCCGGCACAGGTCCATTTTTGGAGACCTGCACCCACCCATACACTCCTGCACCCGTGCAGTACAGCACACCACCCGCCCATTAACCCGTGATCATATCAAAGTTAAATTCACACTTGCCCGGACCCATTAAGATTCCACCTGTTACCCAGCGGTGCCCGTGATACATCACACACAAATGAGAAGCATTCTAACTGAAGCACTTTATTTTTTTCATTGCACCTCTCAACGAACAATGCTAAATGAGGATTGAATAGGCGGTTTGAATAGGTAATAGTATAGAGTATGAAAGCTTTCAGAAATATTTGTGTGCATAGGATAGAAATTGGTGCATATTTGCCTGTAGTTGAGCATAAAATACATATTTGTAAACTCTCAAATGAGTCCAGTCGTACATAAAATGTATCGTGTGTATTTTATACGTCAGAATACAAATTGAAAAGTTAAGAACAATCAACGAAATGAAAATGAAACGGTTACGACTTCTTCAGTACGAATATGAATTCACAGAGAGACTCAACTGTCAAAAAGATGACATCACTTCACAGGCTTTATTTATTGAGTAGAAGAAACATCGATCGAGAACTTTTGCGCCGCACACGGACTGAGCCAGGACTGAACCAGGACTAAAACAGGAGGAAAACAGGACTACACCAGAACTAAACCAGGACTGAACCAGGACTAAAACAGGAGGAAAACAGGACTACACCAGAACTAAACTAGGACTGAACCAGGACTGAATCAGGACTGACTGTCAGGACGGGCCTGGAGGTGCGCTCGCATAGACCGTCATGTGACCGCAGGAGAAAGCACCTGCGCAGAGCTCCGCCCCCAAGGAGCGAAGTGCAGCCGTTGCCCAGTCTTGCTTTGTGGACACTCTGCTGCACAGGCTCGGGGTTCTCCCTCTCCCTCTTAAGTCCAGGATTAGTCCTGGTGTAGTCCTGGTGTAGTCCTAATTTGATCTTGGTTTAGTCCTGGTTTAGTCCTGACCTGCCAGTATGTAGTCACTACCCGTCTGCATACCCGCCTGTAAAATTCCAGAACGTTCAAACCCACCCATTTCAGCAACTATTCATCCTGCACCGGTGCAGGACTTTGCTTCACGCTCTTGTTTTGTATCATGCCAGTGTCTTGTAGGATTTCATTACGCTAAAGAAACGAGAGGAGTCAGTAGAGATTGATAGAAGAGACAGAGAGAGAGAGAGAGAGAGAAAAGAGAGAGAGGAGGAAAACAAACAGAAATGCAAACAGGAATTATCTCTGCTGGAAAAGTTAATAATAATTAACCACCTAGTGATCACCTACAAGACCTGATTCATGACAAAGCTGGACATAGGATCAGCCTCCAGGAGAGTGACATTCGCTGTCATTTTCACAGCTTCTCCACACCTCAGGATCTTTCTCATTATGTTGGGCAAATTTCATATTCACAAAACAAAATGGGCAAATAGTAAATCAAATCAGAACCACTTCCAAAGCGAAATCTAGCAGTATTTTACAACCCTTAAGACATGAACTTAAATTGAATTGCTTAAACCAAAGTAACAAAATTGTTCAGTTATCTTCTCCTCTGTTTCATAATTTTTCTGCAAATTTCAGATTATGTATCAACAGCCATCGTGTATATCTTTTATACCATAGACTTGGCTTTAGGTTTGGCTTTTTAAACATAAGACTTTTATAGCGACAACTTTTCTCATAGTAAATAGGCAGTGCGTCCTCAAGTGACCACTAACATTAACTACACTTCACCTGTTTCTTTTTTATTTTTTTGGTAGATTTTGTAGCATTTGATTTTGAATTTCATTCTTTTATCATTTTTTAGTAAACCAAATGTTATTTTTTATGGTTAGAGGGACAAACTGAATTCCCCTGAACTGAAGCCAAGACAAAAAAAACAAAACAAAATTGCAGAAATGTAAAAACTTCACCTGTTAATTCACCTTAAAACAAATTTAATCATCTCATTTATAAATGAGAGGATGACATCATCTGACATCAGAAACACACGTTTATTTTGTAGTCTTAACTGGGTTTTAACTGTACTCTCCATTTGCTGGCTGCTCACTTCGCCAAACTCACACATTTGGAAAAGTAAAAGAGTGCACACATAATAAAAAACTTTACATAAATAACACATACAGTACATGAGGCAACACACAACAGTCAGCTACATGAGAGAGAGAGAAAACAACCCACATTTATGTTATTAGGTTCTTTTTTTTTCAGACCAAGAGTTTGTTTTCAGACCTGACAGTTTGTTCTGCTCCCTGTGCTCTTCCTCAGAGTTTCATGATGTTGCTGTCGCTCAGCTAATTTAAACAGGTTTTGGTGCTGTCTTCTTATCGGAGGAGGCAGGATGACAGCTTCTGACCACTGTAAAAGAGAGAAGCACATTATGGACTGGAATGGAGGAAACATCACTGGGGAAAACAAACATCGTTGTTAGATCAAAGAGGCAACTGGAATACGGAAACATGCCCACAGAACTATTAACCGGGACAAGGGGCTTTTTCACTCTCACAAACCTGGGATAGTGTCCTGAGGAGGTGGGACTGCAGGTGGCGCTGTCGTCCTGACTCCTCCAGTAGTAAGACAGCACCAAAACCTGTTTAAATCAGTTGAGCGACACAGGAACATCACGAGACTGTGAGGAAGAGCACAGGGAGCAGAACAAACTGTCACATATGAAAACAAACTCTGGTCTGAAAAAAAGAACCTAATAACATAATTTATCAGAAGACCAAATGAACCTCATTGGACTAAACTCAAATATATTTAACCAAATAAGATAAACGGCAACATAAAATGTCGGGGAGAGTGCTGCTGTTATTTTATAGGAATTTTCTATAGATATTGTATTTTAATAGCTTTTTTGTTTTTGATCTGTTTTATTGTCTGAAAATGTTGTATTTCTTTATGATAGTGGTGACCATTTGGTTTATTTTGAGTCCGTTTGGTTTTGTGAATGTAATATCTGGCCAGCGTCTGAATGAGGAAGCAGAGCTTTGGGATTGGATGATTGTTGAAGAAGAACAGGACATCACTTTCCTGGAGGCTGATCACAGGTCTGGTTTTGGTCTGGACGAGCTGCTGTGGGTCTGATGTTTCTCCTGTATGTACATGGATCTATGAAGTGGACCCATAGTTGGTCTGTGGGTGGAGCGGGTGCAGTGAGCGAGGGGTTAGATCATTGTTTCCCATAGACTGGGTTGTGACCCGCACATGGGTCTGCCTGATCTGCTGCTGCGTCTCCTCCTGCACCCTGGACTGAACGCACTACAAAAACACACAGGCCCACGATTAGAAATCATTAGAGATGTTCAAATGTTAAGACATGTTTTGTACAATTTCTGATCTTTTTGTAATTATTTTATTGACTATTTTGTTCCAGTATTGCTGGTTCAATTGAATGTTGAAAAGAAAAAGAAATGTTCTGCATTTAATATCCAAATAGACCACTTATGGATCCTTTAACTGCTGCTTCAGTGACTGTTTTTCATTGTTTCAAACTTGCGTAAAACTAACTGTTCAGAGACATGATCACTCAGTCAACAATAAAATATCCTCAATATTGTTCAATAATGCTCAAATCCACTTTTATTTTGTCATTTACAAATAATGTCTCTTGACTTGGACCTGGATCCCCAGAAAAAAACGTTTGGGAAAGATTGTACCTCTGCGCTAAGAACAGAAGGGGGCGCTGTTGCTCTGGCCATTTTTTTTTCCGGCTCTGGCCAAGTGTGAAGCGGAAGTGCACTGGACTGATAACCGGAAACAGTGGGGTTTATTTCCTCAAACTTCACTTGAGTTTTGTCCGCAGCTCGGTTCAGCACGGCTCTGTCTCTGCACGAGCACGGATCCATGAGGAGCGCTCCGGAGCTCTGACGCCGCTGACGCGCTGCGAGCCTCGGACTCATTTACACCGAGTTTAGTCCCTTTCCCCCGGGCAGTCCGCGCTCACGCCTCGCTCCGTGTGCGGAGGATTTAAAGCGCACACTTTTCTCAAACACCGGTCCAAAATGTGCCAAATGCGCGCGCAGCTACGGGAGATGGTGCGGCTGCGGCTGGACGCAGCTGCGGAGGAAATCTTTGCGCTTTTTGAGAGAATTTTAGCGGAATACGAAGAGGAACTGCGCAGAGCCACAGAGAAGCGACACGAGAAGCGACACGAGAGGGGACAGGAGCAGAGACACGAGCAGAGACACGAGCAGAGACACGAGCAGCGAGCCGAGTGTGCGCCAGAACCGCAGCAGACAGCGCCAGGTTCGGAGCGGCTTCTGCTTTTAACACAAAAAGAACACTTCACCCAAAAACTACAAATAACGTCTTTAGTGTGAAGTGAAGTTCAACTCTGATTTGGTCAATTTAGATCTGGTTTAGGCCTATTTTAGTTCAGATTTAATCCTGGTTTAGTCTTAGTTTAGTTCTAGTTTAGACCTGGTTTATTTTGGGCTTAATCATCCTGGTTTAGTGCTGTTAGTTGAAATTTAGTCCTGATGTAGACAACATCTTTTTCCATGGATTTAAAAAGAGTCTGTCCTAGTCTAGGTCTGGTTTATCCCTGGTTTAGTCCTGCTTTAGTCCTAGGTTAGACCTGGTGTAATCCAGTTGTAATCCTTACTTGTTGACTGATTCTGTTCTGTATTTAGATTTCGTGGCATTTCAGTTCAAATCATGTTTTGACCTAATTTTAGTCCTGGTTTAGACCAGATACAGATCTGGTCCAGTTTGGTATTAGATGTCAGTTTAGACCGGTTTTAGTCCTGGTTCAGACTTCGTTCAGACCTGGTTCTATTTTAGGTGCTAGTTCAGACCTAATTTTAGTTTGAGTGAGGAGTCCTGGTTTAGAAAAGTCTAGAGTCACTGTGATCCTACATTCTTTTACTGCTTTAGTCCAGTTTAGGACTAAACCAGGACAGACAGGGTTCAGAATTAGACTTAATCAGGGCTAAATATTATTGATGACCATGTTTAAAACTAGTTTAGTGCAGGTTCAATCCTGGTTTAGACCAGTTTTAGCTCAGGATGTAGCCCTGCTTTAATCCTGCTTTAGTCTTGTTTTAGTCTTGTTTTAGTCTTGTTTTAGTCTTGTTTTAGTCCTGCTTTAGTCCTGTGTTTTAGTCCTGCTTTAGTCCTGTGTTTTAGTCCTGCTTTAGTCCTGTGTTTTAGTCTTGTTTTAGTTTTGTTTTAGTCTTGTTTTAGTCTTGTTTTAGTCCTGCTTTAGTCCTGTGTTTTAGTCCTGCTTTAGTCCTGTGTTTTAGTCTTGTTTTAGTTTTGTTTTAGTCCTGCTTTATTCTTGTTTTATTCTTGTTTTAGCTGAGTGTTTGGACCTGCTTTAGACCTGGTCCTGTGTTTAATGCAGTTTTTACTTCTGTTTTAGTCCCTAGTTTAGTTTCAGTTCAGTCCTGGTTAGTCTTGTTTTAGGTCAGGTTTAGTCTCAGTTTAGTCCTTTGTTAGTCCCTCTTCAGTCCTGCTTTAGTCCTGCCTCAATCCTGCTTTAGTCTTGCTTTAGTCTTGCTTTAGTCCTGCTTTAGTCCCTGGTTAGACCTTGTTTATACTTTGTTCTGTAAAATAAACATTGTCCTAGTTTAGATCCTTGTGCTCAGTTTCAAAAGTGCAGTCGCGGTCAAGGGAGGATTTAGTCTCTGGTTTCGTGGTTCAAACAAAATAAAACCTAAAAACGTCCAGTCCAAATATAGACCTGTTTGAACCGGCTCCACAGACCGGGGGAGGGGCCTCCTGCAGATAATCCGTGACTAAAACCAGGGGAGCAAACAGGACTAAAACCAGGGCTAAACCAGGATTAAACTAGGATTTAAACCGGTCTGGACTGGAACAGCTAAACCAGGACTGGGACCAAGTCTAGACCTGTCAGAAGCGGCTTTACAAACACTGGTCCAAATGAAGGGAAATAAAAAGTAACGAGAAATTTGTTATATCAAGACCAGGCTTAAACTGGGGCTATAAATTGATCAGTTTAGATCCACATCAAGAACTCAGCCTGAACTACATCAAATCTAAACCAGGACTAATCTAGGACTGAACCGGGGACTGAACCGGGGACTGAACCGGGGACTGAACCGGGGACTGAACCGGGGACTGAACCGGGGACTGAACCGGGATCAATTTAGGTCCACATCCAGAACTAAACCGGGATTGGGTCCAAGTCTAGACCTGTCTGAATCTGTTCTCTTAAGAGCAGGCCTAAACCAAGACTATAAAAGAATCAACTCAGGTCCACATTGAGAACTAAACCCGGTCTAAAGCCAGAGCTTAAAGGTTTTAAATGATCTTTTTGTTTCTGTCATTGTTGTGAAGTTTGTAATGTTCCTTCTGGTTGGACACAGCAGCAGATGTGACATACATGGAGATAACTCTGTAACTGTTACCTAGCAACCATAATGTAAACAAGGGCCAAAACGTGTCTAAATTACACAATAGTTATGATTAGACGAATACAAATAAATGACATCATCTTTAGCTCATTGAAGTTTTAATTTGTCAGAAAACTCTTTCCTTGTGCGTCAATGGTGTCTTCAGTTTTCCGTGTTGATGACACAGGCAGAGGGATTCTGTTTTAGGTCTCAGTGCGACTTCCTGTATTTTTGTACTTTTCTGTTCAGCTTTTTTTTCCACAAACTGCCACTGAACTGATGTGAAACTAAGATCCATATTTAGCTCAGGTACTATCCACCAAACCACTGTAATGCCCAATATTCAAAAAGTTCTAAACAGGACTCCACCCAGGCTTAAACCAAGACTATTCACAGTAACTGTAATCCAGGATTAAACCAGGTCTAAGCCGTGTCTAAACCAGGTCTAAATCGGGTCTGAATCGGGTCTAAATCGGGTCTAAACAAGGTCCAAACCAAGACTTATATGGGAGTTTCTGATGTTTTCTTTCTCTTCTCCTGCAGCTGCTCAAACCCATAATGTTCCTGAAGAATTCCCTCTCGACGTTCCAAACCCGATCGACCTCGTGATCAAACAGGAGCCGGAGGAACTCGGAGATGACATTGTGGAGATCCAGGTTCCGTCTCTGCCCTTAAAGAAGGAGAACGCAGAGGAAGCGAAGGCTCTGGAGGGCGACACGGAGGCTATCGACCTGACCACGGGGGAGGAGGGCCGGAGGAAGAAGCCCCACTCATGTCCCATCTGCGGAAAGAGCTACAGCTGGAAGTCCCACCTGGAGATCCACCTCCGAGTACACACGGGGGAGAAACCTTTTGGCTGCTCAGTCTGCGGAAAACGTTTCACCAAAAAGATGTACCTGGTCATTCACTTGCGCCGACACACGGGTGAAAAACCATTCAGCTGTTCAGTCTGCCACGACCGCTTCATCTCCAAGGTAACGCACCGCTTCAGTCCTGCTTCAGTCCTGCTTCAGTTCTAAACCTTTGAGCCTCTGTCCTGCTGACCGCCAGATTCCAAACAGGAACTGAGCATGGGTGAACATTGGCTCCACGGACTCTGGCTCCAGTTCACTTTGTGTGTACAAATCGTGGCCCCTTTCTCTGTAACTGCAGCTTCAGGCTCCTCATTCTGACCTTCAAATGTTGGTTTTAAACTTTAACCGCTCTACATGATCCTGGGTTTTTTATTTCAACATTTTCTCTTCATACCACAACATGTGACCAAACCTCCTGGTCAAAGCCTGATCCCGTCTCAGAAGCTCCGCAGGGCCTGGTTAGGACCTGGATGGGAGACGCTGGGAAAATTAGTTGTGTCTTTATGCAAGGCACTTCACCCACATTGCCTGGTTTAGCCGATGATGCAGATTAGCAGCCTCTCTTCTGTCAGTCTGCCCCAGGGCAGCTGTGGCTACTATAGGAGCTTACCACCATCGAGTGTGGCACAAATGAGTAGTGATGTGCCAGATAAAACGGATCCATAATAACCAATAAACCGAGCGCCTTCTTTCCCCACGGTAGCTCCCACTCGCGTTAGCTACAGGTTTGATTGACAGCTAAGTGCTGACTCCCAGTGGTGCGGGTGAGAAGGGGCGTTACCTTCAACACCCTCGCTCTTGACTGGCTGTGATAAATGCGTTTTGAATTCTAAATATGGAACTGGGCTCCAGATTGGCTGTTGTAACTGTCAGCCTCAATAAGCTTCACTTGGCTGGAGCCGAACGCTGTGTGTGGTGTCACACTTCCACAGTCCACGTGTTTGTACAGTGTGTGCTGCTTGTGTTTCAGGACAGTGTGATGAAGCACATGATGGTGGTGCACCCGGGCCTGTGCGCGGTGAGGAGCAGAGCCAAGCACAGCTGTGGAGAGTGTGGGAAAGCCTTCACATCGCGCTCACACCTGGAGATGCACCTGCGTGTCCACACTGGAGAGAAGCCATTCCAGTGCCCCGAGTGCTCCAAAAGGTTTACCCAGAAGGCCACGCTGCTCGGTAACTCATGACAGACATGATACATGCTGTGTACACAGTCCACGCCCACACCAGTGCTGTCACGGGGCTAATAAACTCGATACTCAATACTGATTCTAATACCACGATGATTAAAAACACTTCATTTAGACAATAGAATGTGATTTTCCATGTTAAATGGAAGAACTTTTTCTATTCCCATGTGGTCTTCTATGTTTTATTTTTATGTATTTATTCAATATTTTATCAGGTAAATCAGTTGAGAACACCTTTTAATTCCTCAGAACACCACCTCAGAGGTGCAGTAGGTTCTATGTTGGTTCCTGGGTGTGGACTAGTCTATGTGCTCTGATACTTGTTCTGCTCTAGCTCCAGATCTTTCTAAAGACATTCAGGAAAGGCTCTGCTCTGTTCAGTCCATGGGGCTTCAGTTTTTGCATCGCACATTCTACAGACACAAACACATGGAGCAGACACACACGTCGCAATCCAATCAAACCAAATGACACACACTCTCGCATTTTATTGTAATTTAATTTCCTGGGCAAACTACAGAGTCTGTCTGTCTGTCTGTGTGTGTGTGTAAAAGCTGCTACAGCAGGACTAAAGCTGGGACTTAAACAGGTCTAAACCAGGTCTATACCAACTTTGACCCTGTGACCTCCCTTTTGCAGGTCACATGACGAGACACACGGGGGAGAGGCCTTTCAGCTGTCCAGTTTGTCAAAAGAGTTTCAGGCAGAAGAACCACGTCCAGAAACACATCAACATCCACCTGCGGCAACTCAGCCATGAACAGCTGCAAGGTCTGCTCACCTCTGGACAGCTACAGGGTTCCTCGTCTGGACAGCTGCAGGGTTCCTCGTCTGGGCAGTTGCAGGGTGCTTCCTCTGAGCAGATGCAGGGTTCCTCGTCTGGACAGCTGCAGGGTTCCTCCTCTGGACAGCCCATGTTCCTGTATCCACGTCAGGAGTACAGCGCCCCCTCCGTCCACATTTTTAATTATAGCACTTAGAGCTTTTTCAAACGTTTTTGAGCACTTGAACGTTCTGGGCCCATACTGCACCACTTTCTGAGGTTCTGATGTAGTTTCATCATCAGAAACACACCTGGAGTTGTGTTTTGTTTCATTCACATATGTTTAACACACAAAGCTGCACATTTAGGCTGATTTACACTTCTTCTCTCAATAATGCTCCTGACATCTTCACTAGAATCATTTGGATCATTTCAGCCCTGGAACTGTTAATCTTTACTGAACTAAAGGTAAAAGGAGCTGTTCACTTAAAAACTACCACTTCATGACATCACAAGGTGGAACAGAGCGTTTTGATCTTTGGAGATGCAGACAGATTAATAAAGAATTACTCAAACATGTGTGAATGAAACAAACACAACTCCAGGTCTGTTTCTGAGGAGGTCTCAGCATTAGAACATGATGTAAACACATTTCAAGAACAGGATGTGGAGGGAAAAACACTGGGAATCAAACTTGGAACGGTTTTCTGTTTTGTGCGTTTCTGTAAAGTGGAGCTCAGACTAATAAGTGTTCATGAACAAGTGCCTAAAATAAGGTTAAAGTTTTGTAAATGTGTCTCTGCATTTGACCCGTCCTTCAGTGGGCCATATCTGAGCTGGAGGATTTGTCATTACTCGATTTTTGTCACGTTTTTTCACACTGAGCATGCCCAGATCCTCTGAGGCTGAAGCTGCTTTAGTCACCGTAGTTTGGACAAAGCTCATGTTTGACACTGATTGACCCTTGAATCTAAAGTGTGTTACTGATAAATGGTCCGTGTACCATGTGTTCTTTTCATTTCAAATAAGAACAAAAAACAATAAAATGGGAAAACACTTTATTTCATTTTTCCATTTTAGTGTCAAACAAAAAAACAGATTTTGACCTCGATTTCCAATATTTAATTTAAAGTTTATTTCAAGGCTTGGTGCCTATTTTAATTTTGATATTTTATTTTCTCTGCTTTATTTGCCCTGGAGGTTCTGCTGCTTGAAGGACTCACCTGAGAAATGGTTGCAGTTTTGTGAACAAACATGTCTCTTCTTTTATAGCGACGCGTTTACTTTCACGTCGTAGAAAGTCGTTGTTGAACTCCACAACGAGAAACAGGAAGCGGAGATAAACTCTCCTTTGTTCATTTGACGCCACAGAACTAGAATAAAAATAGTTTTTTACAGATCTATGGCTGAAACTGCAGCAGAACATCTGGGGCAAATAAACCAGAAAATTAAAATAGACAGCGAGGCTGTTTTTTTGATTGGTGTTATTGGAACTAAACTTTAAATTAAATACTGGAAATGGAGGTCGAAATGTTTTTTTTTCTAAAGTGGAAAATGAAATAACACACTGTTTTCCCATTTTATTGTTTTTCATTCGTAAATTGAAATTCAAAAGAACAAATGGTACGTGGACCATAAATCTCTGTGCTCTGTGTGTGTTCGAGCAGGATGTTCATTTGAAGCTTAAAGAAAAGCTCTAGCTGGGATTTCCTTTATCTTTAATCGAATGATCTTAAGTGTGTTTTAGGAGAGTGAGTAGTTCATATTCACGTTAAAACAGTTGTGTTTCAAAGGCACACATGTCGGATAATAATCGATTTAGTGTGCACGTTTTTTGTTGAGTTCAAAGGTCATGGTTTATTTCAGTGCTGCAGCTTTGTCAGATATAATCTTTGTAAAGTTTGTGATGTGTTTGTGACTTGGGGATGTAACGATTTCCAAATCTCTCACTACAACATTTTCATCATATTCACTGAGGCCAAGGCAATCGTGAATATGCAACTTTTCTGTTATTTCTTTTCAATAATTAAAGGTGCACCGTGTGATTCGTCTGCTGGGAGGTTCATCACCTGCTTGTCTCCATCTAGATACACTAGAATGTTTCACAGTGTGACCATAAACATTAAGAATCTCCTAGAGACTTCAAGCCAAATTACAGGTTACACCTGTGGAGAGGCGACCCCACTCACAGTAAGAATGAGGGTTTCTGAAGATATTTTTGAGCAACAAATATCACCTGTAGCTGAATAAATCTAAGACAAATTAGTTTAATGCCACACTGTGGACCACTGAAACCAAAGCATTAAAATCCGTCACACAGAGCGCCTTAAAATAAAATAAAACATGTAAAAACACACACTTCACCACTTTAAATTACATTACAAAAAATCAATCAATACAAAAAGAAAGCACAGCAATAATAATGGCCTGGCTCACTGCGGAGCTGCACAAGGAGGAGGAGTTTTCATTTGTTTGAAAGTCTTGGAGGATTGAGTGGAAACTGATAAAAGGTTTCCTATGTAACTATAATCTTCATTTTATTAGTTAATCTAGGTGCATTTTTCCAATGATGTCATTTACTAAACCAAGACTAGAAGTTTTATTGTTTCGGTTTCGGTTGACATATTTGTATTTTTTGCTGAAGGGAGAGAACAGAATCGTGCGTGTGTCGTTATCAGAACCTCTGTGCTTAGATATGTCCAACTTTTTCCTTTGAAATGCCCCCACAAGACTTTAGTTTTATCATCACAGACTGTGTAAGTGGCCTGTCACCCACAGCGTTCAGCTCCAAACTAAACTCATCAGGCCAGCAGATACACGGTGAATTTGGAGCTGAGTTCCATTTGGAACAGGAATTGATTTATGGACAAAATAGTGAAATAAAAACCCCAGGATCATTTAGAGCAGCTTAATGTGAACATTTTCAGACTAAAATGAGGAGCCTGACAGAGAGAAGGGCACAATTTTTCCAATAGAAAGTGAATCAGACACACTGTGGATGGAGCCAAATTCCAGCCGTACTCACGTCCTGTTTGGAACGAGGCAGCTATGTTCATTTAAATGGTAATTGAATTCAAATTCAAAAATAATTAAGATCTGAAAGTGACAGCTGTTTTTTCTGTAGTCTGCAGTGAAACAGAGCAAAGGATCATGGTCTATGTAGTTCTCTCAGTTTTTTGTTTGTTTTTTTTTTAAGCAAAGAAACTTGTGGTTGGATTCTTAGTGATGTTCCATGACAGAGTGAGACTCGTGACGATTCCACATCATGGTAGTGTCTCTATTACAGTTACATCCCTGTCACCAGTGTTAAAAATACTTTGAGAATGTGTTTAGTTACAGAATACTCAATACTGCAGTAACAGTTCTAGTGTATTGTGAATACTTAAAATACTTTTCCACAGAGGTATAGTGTAAAGGTGCATTATAAGTTTAAAAACAGCTTTGTGTTTGCTTCACTGTTCAACAGCCACACGACAAGAGCACTGTTTGTTTTTCGCACTAGTCGTGTGCACTCTGAAGTCTAAATGATCAAATACTAACATGTACGACTACAATACTGACAAGTATTTGCAGCTGATGTGGATGTGAAGGTAGCTGTAGGCACTGGTCTGTCTGAACCTCTGTTAGACTTTAATCAGAGTTTTGTTTAAACACATGACCATAAAGAATAATAAAAGATAAAGTGTCACACAAAATCGCCAGCATTAGCCCAGTTTTTCAGTTAGTCACTTTTAAAATTGAAAATCAAACTCCTGAACAGGACCATGAACACTCGGGCTGATCACCAGCTCCTGAAAATGTGCTCTTTAAATCCATTTATCTTCAAACTTTTAACAGTGTTTGTGTCATTGTGTTGCCATGGGAACATTCCACCTTTAGAGATACATGTCGAACAGGAAGTGTATGAATCCCTCCAAACCAAAGAGCGACTGTACATGTGTGTTCTGAAGCTGGATTCTCGGCACACGGGGCCTTCTCAGGACTTGGATGGAGACACTGGGAATCCCAGGAGTCACAGTGGGACCAGCGCCAAAAACTGTCGTTGTGTCCTTAGGCAAAACACTTACTCACATTGGCTAAAGTGTGAAAGTGGTGTGTGTGCGTGAGTGATGGTGGGAGGGGCCGATGGCACAGATTGCTTCCATCAGTGTGTCTGCCCCAGGGCAGCTGTGGCTACAGTAGTGGCAGCTCTGAGTGTGGAGTGAGTGAATCATGTTCTGCTGTGGGCATCTTCAAGACGCTGTAGAAATCCAGTGATTCATGAATAAAAGCGAGTTATTTCCATATTTCCATCACTGACACTGTCACCTGAACTGCTGCAGGAGACGAGCGTCTGCTCAAACAGGTGTTAAATCTTTTTTTTCTTAAATCATGAAAAAAAATCTGTTGAAACTGTTTTTGTTTTGCTGTAAAACACAATTTAGATTTTTTAGAAAAGTTTGGCTTATTTTAACTCAGGCTGATGGTGTTTGTGTTTGCTCTGTTCACTCGTGGATCATAAAGGAAACACACAAGTCCAGACTTCTGTGTTTGAAAACTGCAGTGCCCAATTTCTAGCATCATACTTTTACTTCTACTTTTTAACTCGAAGTAATAGTACTCTTATTTGAGTAATCTATAGTACAGTGTAACCGTACTCTTGTGTAAAAGTTGTGCTTCCTCCTCCCACTGAGTCTAAAGTGACAATCTTTATGTGATGATCTGAAATGATTTGAACATTTGTTTCTTGCAGCTTCTTCAGATCTGACTGAGTTTGTCTCTTGTTTGGGTTTAATTTACACTGCACCAGATTTAGTGCAGTATAAATATTATTTTCTTTGTTACCAATAAAATATTTATCAATTTCATGTTTTGTCCTTCAAATAAAAAAAATATACATTATGTCATGACCTGTTTAATTTACCCTTACTTGAGTGGTACTTTTCCCAAATACTTTTTACTCTTTCGCGACTCATTTCTTGGACCATTCCTTTGTACTTCTACTTCAGTAACATTATTCTGAAGTAAAGTTACTCTTCCTTGAGCACGGTTTGTGCTCTGCATGTATCACCTCTGACAGCAAACTGAACTCAACACAGACGCTGTGCACAGGGCTGCAGCAGCTCCTCTCTAGTACTCGAGTACTAGAGTACTAATGTGCAGTACAGTAACAGAACATGAATGTAACTGGGTTCTGGCTCTCTTGCTCTCATATCCGTGTGCACAGAGCAGAGTCAAGTCTCACTTTATTTCTACAGCACATTTAAAGGTGTGAAACAATATTCCACCGTCAGTCCGTCTCCAAATCTGCTCTGTCCCACCTGCTGATGTCATTTAGTGGCAGTAGTATGTTAATGGACTAAAATGATCCAATGATTCTAATGAAGTTGTATAGAGTTTAAACATACCGTGCACTTCCTATATCACCACATGACATCACAAGGTGGAAGAGTGTTTTCTATTTTCATTATAGCAGAGATCAGAACACTGTGCAGCATGGGCCCTTTAAAACAAGTGAAACAGTGAAATGTCACTAAAACAAAAAGGTTCAAACACGAACATGCGTCATACACACTTACAGAAACCAGAGCTGGAGACAAAGCTTCAAACCATCAGAAATGAAACAAAAAACAAAACAACAACAACAACAACAAAAAACAAACACTGTATCAGAAGATGAATGTCCAAAAGGTTTATTGAGCCTGAGCCTGGTACAAAAACGGTTAATTTTCCAAACAAATGTTTCAATGCAGCCGCTCCACTGCCACCTTCAGGATGGTCTCTGCTGCCTGTTGGGTCTCCAAATCCTCTGCCCCGCCCTCTGTTCTAGCCCCTCCCTCTGCTCTAGCCCCTCCCTCTGCACTGGCTTCGCCCTCTGCCACAGTCCTTCCTTTAGCCACTCCCCCTGTCCCTGCCCCTCCCCCCACGTGCATAGCCCGGCCCATGTGCCGGTGCAGTCCGGCGTCGGTCATGAACACCTTGTGGCAGGTTGGGCAGGGGTGGTCCCCAGCGCCATGTGCTGCCCTCATGTGGTCGTTGCGTTGCTGGAGGCTCTTGTACTTTTTGGGGCAGCTGAGGCAGGAAAATGGCCGCTCCTTTGAGTGGACGAAGGAGTGCGTCTTCAGGCTGGACTTCTTGGAGAAGCGAGCTGTGCACATGTCACAGGAAAACTGCTTCAGTCCAGAGTGGATGAGCATATGTTTGTCCAGAGTCACCTTCACCCGGAACGCTTTGGGACAGACTGAACAGCAGAAAGGTCGCTCGTCTGTGTGCAGCATCATGTGTGTGGACAAAGACACTTTATCCTTGAATTTGAGACCACACTGAGAACAGCTGAAAGGTCTGTCCTGAGTGTGGACGCGCATGTGTTTCTCCAGGTTTTGTTTAACGTAGAAGACTTTACCACACTCGGTGCACAGATACTGTGCTCCCAGATACACGATGGACAAGTCACTTCGCTCAGAGCTTTGCTCTGAACCCTCTGCCTCTTTTTTGTGAGACTCCAAATGTTCCTCTGCTGTTTTCATGGATTCGAACAACTGCAGGCACACTGAGCACCTGTAAGGTCTGTCCTTTGCGTGTCTTTTTGAGTGGAACTGTAGCTTGGACTTTGACGCAAACTTTCGTCCACATTCCTTGCACTCAAAGGTCTTCCCCGTGTGGAGCGCCTCCATGTGGGCGTTCAGGGCGTCTCTCTTCCAGAAGGTCTTAGTACACACCGAACAGCTGAAAGGTTTCTCTGCTGTGTGCCTCTTGGTGTGCACAGCGAGCGTGGTCCTGGTGCGGTAGCGTTTGTGGCACATGGTGCATTGGTGTGGCCGCTCTCCAGTGTGCAGCGTCATGTGCTCCTCCAGGCGGCGCTGTCGAGGAAACGCCTTTCCACAGACGACACAGGGAAACCGCATCTCTGAAACACACACGTAACAGACTTACTCATGAGACGTTCCATGTCATTTACATAATCTTAATGGACCAGAAATCCGATTGTGTGTGCGCGTGTGTGTGCGTGAACAAGGCAACTGAGTAGGCCTGTCACTAGAACTAATTTTGAACCACGATATATTGCTGCACAAATATAGTGCGATAAACAATAATATTTACACTACTTTATGCCACTGACACAAAGCAGGAGAATCATTTTACTGTTCCGTATTCTGAAATTTTACAGTAGAATTAAAAGGCCTAAGACGTAACAGCAGCTAAAGTGAATAAATCATTTGACTTCAGATTATTTCTCCTGACAGAGAAGACCCTGAACTTTGTGTCAGTTTTTGTTTCATGTGAATAGGGCAGGGAAGTACAGAGATATAAACCATAACATTTCTGCACAAACTTAAACAAACTATGGACTATTTTTTTGCATCGAGATGTTTTAATAATAAGATTCTGTTCAAAGTTCACATTTTAACTCTGTCTGACAAACGAATACAAGAATTGCATTTCAGATTTTTGTTAGTACAGATCTAAACTACCGGGTTATAGGGCTGTAGTCCTTTAGTTCATGAATCAGTCAATTAATTTGTCAATTAATCATGTGATCTTGATGATCAGGATTTCTAGGGGACAGCAGCAGGAAGGGGAAAAGTAAGTGAGATGAACAATTTTCCTCTGTAAAAAAGCAGTTTAAACTCATGATTCACACATTGAATCTGTCTTTATCTAAATATTCTGTTTCCTAGTCCTTTTTTCTGCATAAACAGTAGTTTTGCAGGAGCTCCCTCTGCAGGTGGAGTCTTGTGAGTGCACTTTGGGCCAGATACACAGATAGAGAATAGTTTTGAGCTTTTGTCACACCTCCTTTTTAATCAACCACAAATTTCTTTAGTGGACTACAGGCCTCCGGGTTTAGCAGTTTTTCTGAAGAAATTATAGTGCTTCAAAAATGAGATACTGACCTCCTTCCTGTGGCTGTACCACGTTGTTTCTCTCCCCAGCGCGTCCCTCCTCCTGATGTTCCTCCTCCGCTTCTTTCAGCTGTTCTCGATGCTTGAGCTGATGGACCTCCAGCAGCTTCACACTCCTGAACATTCTGCCGCAGATGCTGCACTGGGGCCCTGTGTGGACCTTCAGATGAGTGGTCATACTCTTCTTCAGACGGAAGCGCTTGTCACAGAATGAACAACTGAAAGGTTTCTCCCCCGTGTGGATCCTCATGTGTCCGGCCAGCTCTGTCTTGCCTTTGGTCAGTTTTTCACAGACTTTGCAGCGGTAGCGTTCGATGGCATGTTTCTTCATGTGGGTCAGATAGCTGTCAATGGTCAGGTACTGGTTTTCACACACGGGGCAGTTCAGAGCCACCAGTTTCTTCTCACTAGGCCTGTCACATAACACACATTTTTATACAGTATTTTACACCTTCAAGACTCAAGGTGCTTTACATCAAGGAAACACACACACAAACACGTGCACACAAACACACACACACGCACACAAACACACACATGCACACACACACGCATGTGTACGCAAACACTGGGGGCGAGGTGGGTCTTATCCAAGGACACGACAACAGCATTCACCTGTGAGAGCTGGAATTGCACAGCCACTGGTGGACAAACACTAAGTTAATAAAGCAAAGGGAGAAATAAAATTTGTCAACTGGTCAGAAGTTTATTTGGTTGAATATATTTGCAGCATCTAAGCTGTTTCTTCAGTTCTGGTCAGACGCTGGTGGACACTGTCAGTTTCTGTTAGTTAGCTAGGCCTGTTGAATTTGCACTGAGAGTGGGGTCATATTTGCAGAATCATTCAGGGCCATAAGGGGAGCTTTCACACCTCTGGGCCTGACCTGGTAACACTATTGTATTCTTTGTTGGTTCTGATTTAGGTTTGAGGATGAAATTTTATTTCTCCCTTTACCATGGATTCTACCTGGACATTTATTTATTGATTGATTTATAGATTGATTGAGACAGGGACAGTGCACAATTTACATGAATCTTAACAGGAGAGATGTTTGTACATCAGGTTGTAGCTCCAGTGTTAATTTCCACCTGTCATCTCTGGATTGACTGTATTTAAACTGACCTTAGCTAACTGGTTTTCCTGGACACCTGTAGCATGTTTTGGGTGGGGTCTTTGGGAAACTGAGGGATTTTACACATACACACATACATACAGGGTTTTGTGAGTTAAACATGTGTGAATGAAACAAAACACAACTCCAGGTCTGTTTGTGATGAGGAAACATTAGAACGTACAAGTAGATCAGATAAAAGCTTCATATTAGTCAACTTTCTACAACTGTCATCATAGAACAAAAAACTAATCCAAAATGTTCCCACTAGTGTGAAGAAGAAGTAACACAACAAATCCTGACTTTTGACCCACTGTTCTAACTCTCATATCCCAAACCGTCGATATGTTCATTGTTGTGAAGGCCAACCTCTCGCAGCTGCTGCTGCTGCTGCTGCTGCTGCTGCTGCTGGGTTTCAGCTCTGTGGCGTTCCCGTTTTTCTCCATGGAAACTTTGGGCTTCGGAGCGGCGGCTTTGGGTGCAGTGCCGGCTGTGTCCTTTACGGGGGCCTCATCCTCGTCCTCGTCCTGGCTGGAGTCTGAGGAGCTGGGGGCAGAGGTCGCAGACTGAGCGTAAGTGTGGTCCGCCTCAACAACTGCAAGACACACAGAAAACAGTCTACACTTACATGCACAAAATCTGATCACTAGAATAGTCAGATTATACATTTATATAATTATGTCTTATTTGACACCTGTCTCTTGCTCTTTTTTGCTTCTTATTTAGAATTTATTATTAACATTTATATTTTTGCTCTTTGTTATTCTATTATATTGTGATGTGTGAGCTGCTGTGTTCAAATCATTTCCCTTGTGGTTCAATTAAGTTTGTCTAAGTCTAATTACCCATAATGAGATTCGATTTTTGTGTGTGTTTTGCAAGAGAAATCCGATCATCAAAAAAAATCCCAGTGACACGTGTTAGTCACTACGTTCACATGCACCAGAAATCTGAGTGCACCAAACCACTGTTTCCCAAAGACTGAATTTTTCCAGTTATTTATTGCAATTCAAGTCTCTCAAGTCCAATGAAGAGTTTGAAATGAGTCACTGAACAGACAGAGATTAAAAAAAGATAAAAGAACAAAACACAAGTCCAAGCTCTGCCAAAACTACCTCAGGAAAAAAGAACAAGATGGTGATCTTGAAAACCTGGAGTGTCCAGTACAGTGTCCAGACTTAAACTCCATGGAGCTGGTTCGGGATGAACTGGACAGAAGAGTGAAACAACCTACAAGTGCCACACATTTATGGAACTTCTGCAGCAGACTTGGAACAATATTTGATTTCTATTGTAAAAAGAACGAGCCATGAGTGTGTTCAGCTGTTCTATCTGCAAAAGTGGACACACACATCAAAAGTTTAGAATATGTTTTGGTTAAACAGGAAACAGTAAAAAAATTGAAAAAGTGTGGTGTTCTAAAACTTTTGACCGTTGGTGTACAGTTGCACATAAGATTTCCTGTGCGCACAGAAACAGACTGAAGCTGCTCCTGATCTGCTGCTGCGTCTCCTCCTGCACCCGACTGGAACACGCTTTAAAAACACACACAGGCCCACCGCTCTCATTACAAATGTTGAAATGTTAAGGCATGTTTTATATCATTTCTAATCTTTTTGTAATTATTTTATTGCCTATTATGTTCCAGTATTGCTGGTTCAGTTGAAAGTTGAAAAGAAAAAGAAATGTTCTACATTTAATGTCCAAACAGACTACTTCTGGATCATTTTACTGCTGCTTCAATGACTGTTTTTCATTGTTTCAAACTTAATTAGTAATAATAATAATAAAGTAATACTAATTGTCCAGATACACGATCACTCAGTCAATAATAAAATTAGGGGTGTCAAATTATCGCGTTAATTGCGATTAATTAATTACAGTCATATTTAGCGCGTTATGTTTTTTAATCGCGTTAATCTCATTTTTAATCTCTAACTTTACTGTTTCTGTATGCGAGTTGCTTTATTATAAAATCTGTTTTATGTGTTGTTGGGACAACAACACACACACACACACACACAAAAAACACATTAATTATTTTTTTATTTCGGTAATTCCACTCAATGCCGGAAACCCACAACAAAACGCGCGCAGTAAGAGCGATGCAAACGTCATGTTCACGTTGGCGGCGTCAGTCGCACAATGGACGAGGTGGAAGAGCCAGTAGAACAGAGGCAGCAGTGCACAGGTAAAAACACATTCGTGTCTTGGAAATTATTCTCCCGATGTGAAATATAAAAGAAAATAACAAATATAAAATCGCCTTCAACTTAAATGTCACTGGTGAAAACAACCTGCATAGACTCATGATGTCTGCACTACTGTCCTATAGTGACCTGCCACATGAGGGGACACGCACACAAACACACACAAATACACACAAACACAAACACACACCTTCATCATCGTCATTAACCTGAGAACACGCGGACCACGTTTCTTTCCGTAGACACTGCGCGGACACCGACGTGCTCCCGTGCGCCGCGTACATTTTCTCGCGTACGCTGCGTAAACCGCGCTTCCTCCTGTGCGCCTCTAAACCAGAACTAACACCAAGACTAAAACCGGGACTAACCCAGTCCAGGACTAAACCAGGACTAAACCAGGACTAAACCAGGACTAAAACAAGGACTAAAACCAGTGATCTCATATATAAAGCATTTCTCTATCAATAATATTTTTAATATGGTTAAGGAAAGACTGGACTTTTTATTGTCTTTAAGTAGACAAAAGTTATTATGTTCAGATTTCCTAGTCTTTGCTACTTTACAGCAAACAGTTTCTTATTCATGGAGACTTGGGCTCAACAGTCAATTTGGAGAGATTTGTTAAACAATAAAGGACTTTATAAAGTCACTTTTTTTGTTCTATATCAGTCTTTTGATCTGCCACAATAATGTAATAATGAATTTAAATGAAAATACCTCAACTTGAAGGCTTTTTTCAGCATTTTTTAGGTGAGATTAAAAAGAGATTAATTAGATTAATTAATTACAGATCATAATTAATTAATCTCTCAATTTTTTTAATGGCATGACAGCACTAAATAAAATATAATTCATGTTTACTAATGCTCAAATCCACCTTGATTTTGTGATTTATGAACAATGTCTGTGGACTTTGGGTTGCGAAGGTTTGTGACTTTTCAAATGTGAATCCCCAGATAAAAAGTTTGGGAAACACTGCACTAAACCAAACTCAAACTGTTTTTGAACCAAAACCTGTCAGACTCCACAGTCTAAAGCAGGTCAAAGGTCAAAGAACCAAATGGGTGCAAATCAGAGACTGTATAAAGAGTGTTGTGAGGGATTGTGATGTCACCCACACATTTCAGCTCCAGTCAAATGAAGCTCCAGTCAAATGAAGCGCATTGAGGCCGGCAGTTATAAGGGTGAATTTGGAGCAAAGTTCCATATTATGATTAGCAATAGATTTATTGACAACACAGCGACATAAAAAAACAGGATTATGTAGAGCAACATTTTAAGAGAAAAAGGACGAGCCTGACAGCAACAGGTACAGAGAGAGGCCACGCTTTTTCCATACAAAGTGAACTGGAGCCAGAGTTGAAGGAGCCAGAAGAGGAAATAGCAGCTCAAATCTTACCATATTACATAAAAAATAGCAGAAAGCTCCCCACTACTGCAACAAAAACGTACAAATATATTGTTACAAGTTAAATATTAAGTAGATATAATTGTTATTGTGACAGGTCTAACAAAGAAGCTAAAAACTTCTGTGAAACTAGAGCATATACTCAAGTGGATCTTTACAGGGCCTATTACACTATTCTCTGATCTGTATTATACAGTTGTTTCCTCCTCATCTGGAGTTGTGTTTTGTTTCATTCACACAGGCTGAACACAAAAACCCTGCAGATAAAGGCTGGAAGTTCTTCTCACATGTGGTAATACAGGAAGTGCTCCACTGTGTTTTAAACTCCTTCACTAGAATCATTTGGATCATTTGAGCCCTGGATTTGCTGATCTTTACAGAGCTAAAGGTACCCTAACTACTGCTTCATGACATCACAAGGTGGAACAGAGCAGTTTAACATTTGGGGATGTAGACAGGCTAATAATAAAGTGTTACTCAAATATAGGTGAATGAAACAAAACACAAGTCCAGGTGTGTTTTTGAGGAGGGAGCAGCATTAGAACGTGGCTGAATGCTCTCGAGAGTCCGTCTGTGCTGGATGGGACTGTTAAATCATGTCTACATTATTAGCCTCAAACTTGTTAGTGCAGTTTGTAAGCCGCCTGTCACCGGTGCATCTGTGGAGTCTGTCTCATGTCTCTCCCACCACCAACACACACACCACATTCATACTACACAAGGTGGATAAAGTGTTTTGCTTGGCAGAACTTTGGGTTGGTGAATGCGCTAACCTCTGAGTCACTGACTTCCACCAGAACTTTGCCTCTATGTGGCTTTTAAAACTGTCTGTTACTGTTAACATGTGTATTGTATGTGTATTGTCCCTGTTCAAATAAACTAATAAAAATATGTTTTAAAAAAGTGTGTGTCAAATGCCTCCCCATGTATCAGATGTCCTCCCTGTGTCTCTCTGGGTTCTTATTTTGCCTAAAAGCTGCTAACCCTGTAGCTTAAAGCTCTACATACATGTTCTGTTTAAGAGATTTCCATCTCTCAGATGTGAATGCTCTTGATCTAAAACAGACATGTGTTAGTACCTGCTGGGGGGACGGGCTTCGGTGGATTGTAGATCAGAAGAATCATCATTTGGGCCACGGTTGTCTCCGCCCCTAACGCCGCTATAACGAGAAACCGAAGTTTTAAACAGATAGGTGACACTTTGATCTGCCCAGGTGTGATTCTGTTTCTGCTCAAATGTTTCTATTTTCAATTGTAAAAGTCTATGACTCATTATATTTGCAAACCAAGAGCCTTGCTGAGTCCAGCTGCCAGGAGCTGTCCAGCCCCCACAGAGAGCACACTTTGTGCTTTGGTCGGGTTCTGAGGAGTCTTTTCTGAAACACAAAACCGTCAAGAATGAGACTCAGCATCAGAAGATGATTCTAGGAAAAATGTAAAAATAGAGCACAGAACTTTGTGGCTGTCCTTTGTTCAATAGGAATCCACGGCCAAGAGTGTGCGGGTGTCCAGCTCCGGCTCCCTGCGGGTGTCCAGCTCCGGCTCCCTGCGGGTGTCCAGCTCCGGCTCCCTGCGGGTGTCCAGCTCCGGCTCCCTGCGGGTGTCCAGCTCCGGCTCCCTGCGGGTGTCCAGCTCCGGCTCCCTGCGGGTGTCCAGCTCCGGCTCCCTGCAGGACTCTGGTGCCCGGTGGAAGGACAGTCCCCTGAACATTTACAATTCTCCCGTTTGAGTCCACCAAAACCCAGGGGCCCTGCAGGTGTCCAGCTCCCACAGAGGGCACACTTTGTGCTTTGGTCGGGTTCTGAGGAGTCTTCTCTGAAACACAAAACACTTTATACTTAAGCTTAGACACAAATGTCACAAATGTGTCCATAGGCCTGACCACAGCCCTCGTCTGGCTCATGCCCCTTGCACACTGTGAATATCCTTATTCTGCCCCGCCCACTTTTGTCCCAAAATGCTCCTCCCTTTTTTGTGGTGGCACTTCCAGTGAACCGGGGATCCTCTTCATGTCAATGGAGAATTTGGGAAAAGTTTTGCATTTTAAATATGACAAAGTCGGTCCATTTGTGTAAAATGTCACACTGCTCTGGGGGGCTTTAAAACGGCTTTATAGTCCCTATTGAACTTATCTGCTGTAAAGATCAGCAGCGCTATATAAAATAACACAAACTGAATGATGATGGCGGCGTCCACGGTAACTTCTGGAATAAGGTGAATACGACAACCGCTCTGTAGTGTGTGCAAGTCAGCATAAGATCAAATTAATACAAGAAATGTAGACATATTGTTATAAAAATCTTACTTGAATAACTGTGGCATCTGGCTCCCTGCGTCTGCGCGGCTCCCTGCGTCTGCGCGGCTCCCTGCGTCTGCGCGGCTCCCTGCGTCTGCGCGGCTCCCTGCGTCTGCGCGGCTCCCTGCGTCTGCGCGGCTCCCTGCGTCTGCGCGGCTCCCTGCGTCTGCGCGGCTCCCTGCAGGATACTGGTGCCCAGTGGGATAATAGTCCCCTGGACATTTAGAATCCTTCCGCTGGAATCCACTAAGACAGTCCCGGATGGGAACACTCTGTCTGGGAAGGGAACATGGCCCTGGTTGTCTACAGCACCTTGCAGCTGTTCAGCCTCGTCAGAGGGCACAGTTTGTGGTTTGGTCGGGTTCTGAGCAGTCTTCTCTGAAACAGAAAACACTTAAAGGTGTGAAGTTATGCCCAACAGTTACTCTATTAAGTCAGATTGCTATTGTACATGACCTGACTAAAATCATAGTTTCAATCTCACTTGAATGAGTGTGCAGCCGCAGGTGTTCAGCGGGGCTGGGCAGAGGATGAAATGGATACCCTGGCACCTCGCACTGCTTCCCCAGACGATTGAACCTTCAGAAAAAAAAACACATCACCTTATTTACTCCCTAGTCTTGTCCTGGTCTAGTCCTAGTCTAGTCCTGGTTAAGATCCTGCTCTAGTCCTGGTTCAAGTCCCGGTTCAAGTCCCAGTGTCACCTCTGCACACGCTCAGTGATGCGTGAGTATTCGTGCTTTTTGTTGAAGCTGAAGATGGAAGGCACGTAGTCCGGGTGCCGAGGGTCCCGAGAAAACTTCCCTGAAAAAACAGAAAAAAACCCACTTCACTTCAGACTGGTCTGAATTCTCACATGGCACGGGTCACGTCAGTCAGAATCACTTGATTTGTCCAGAGGGGCAGTTGAAACACATTGAGCAGTAAAATTCAATCATAACCATAGACTGTATAAATGGACATGTTCATCGCTCTAGCCACTGATTTCCAAACAGGAAGTAACAGGAAGTGAGAATGGGCGTGATTCAGCTCCATCAACTCCAATTCACTTTTTTATTGAAAAAGCCTCTCTCTGGAGCTGCTGCTGTCAGGCTCCTCATTCTGACCTTCAAATGTTGGTGTTAATACACTCTACATGATTCTGGGGTTTTTACTCTTTCTCCCAAAATGAAATTATGATTTATCTGATGGTCACTCTCTATACCCCAGCACCTGCACCAATCCTGAGTCAGTGCTAGTGCAGCCTCTGCAGCTCAGGGAGAATTCTGGAAGTTGTGAGCTTCACATGAGGCCTGTCCATAAACTGAGAATGAGACACACTTGGATGTGTCTCTATCTGCAGGTGAAGATTCTGGAGACACAGGCTCAGATGTGATTGTAGTAACTTTTAAAAACCGTAAGAGGAGGACACGGCTCCTATAACTGCAACAGGGCGACCGTAATGACGTTAACAACAAACATGGCGGATTCCCCCTGGTTAAAAACTCCTTTATGCTGCACAACAGACAGAAGCGCAGAGGATCCGCTACAGCGCGTCTCTGGAATCAGATTTCACAATGATGATGATGATGATGATGATGATGATGATGATGATGATGATGATGATGATGATGATGATGATGATGATGATAGTAATAGTGATAGTAATAGTGATAGTAATAGTGATAGTAATAGTGATAGTAATAGTAATTATTCTTATGCTTCCACGGTCCGGAGCGTTTCAAAAGCCGCGTCGCGGTCATGGTCTGTCGGGGGACTGAGGAGGACGCAGATGAGACGCAGGCAAACGCAGATGAGACGCAGGCACACGCAGATAAGACGCAGGCAGACGCAGGCGCACGCGGAGGGGACGCAGACTGCACGTACCTGTGATGAAGTGCGCGCTGCAGACCCTGCGGTTGGGCCCCGGGTTGGTCTTGAGAAGGTCCCAGCGCCGCGCCGCTTTGATCCAGAGGGTGCGCTGCGTGGGGTCGGAGGGGAAGCGGTAGAAGTGGAGCGGGTGGAGCGTCCCCGTGGCGACGCCGCGCCGGTCGCTCCGGTTTGTACAGAAGTTAACGCAGCACGACATTTTAGAGATGAAGAAGTCTCCACTTTTTAGCCCGCGCCACAGTCCGCCATTACACCAACATCTACGCATGCGCCATGGCCCGCGCGGTTAAAAGCCGCAGAAGAACGCCACCGTGTGTCAGGAGCAGGTGTTACACACTCAGTTTGTCAACGGCATAAAAAGCAGCAGTGATCCAAGACTACAGGAACACGCGACACCCGCAGTTGTTCTTTTCTGATTGATTCATGTGCGTATTGTTTGAACAAACAGCTGACGCTACTTTTTAAACCTCTAAAATACATGGGATTCTTAAGATGTTTAGATAACATCACCTTTATTTGTCGGAAATTCCAATTTACGAATAATACACAAAAATCAAAACAAATGTATTTATTTAAAAGGGAAGCCCCTTAAGATGTAACATCTCAACACAATAATAAAACACTTGACTTGAATTAGAACATGAACTTCAATCCAAGTCAACACTTTTCAAGTACAATAAAGTATAAAATATAAGGCCACAGCAGTAAGAGTGACTCTTTCATGCTGCTGCAGTGGTTTATGTGCACTCAGAATTCTACTTTGTGAACATAAATCTAATCATATATATTATGTCCCTTTGTGTAGTGAAAAAACCTTAGAACTGTAATAACTGTAAATGTTTTTATTATAAATCCATGAAAACTGTGACAGAAACTGTGTTTTAATCTGAAGGGTAGCCGGAAGTGAGCGCGGAAGTGGAGGCGAAATACACACACTTTTCAAAATGGCACCCTAAATACTCTACTAACTTCAACAAAAACATCAGAATACTCAAGCTTTTAGACTTGGACCCAGTGAATTTGATAATGTATGGGTCTGTGGCAGCCTCAAGGAAGAGACCCAGCGTTACACCAGACCAAAAGCAGGACTAAAGCAGGACTACAGCAGGTCTTGTGTATGAGTCTCATTTCTTGGATCTGTCTCGTGTTTTTGTGTCAGACTGAGCAGATCTGGACATGGCGAGTCCCGGACCGCTGGCGCCTCCTCAGGTCGTTTTATGGGAGGCATTCCTCGGCCTGGAGTCTCAGGGGGAGCCGCTGGAGCCCCAGGGGGAGCCGCTGGAGCCTCACGGGGAGCCGCTGGAGCCTCACGGGGAGCCGCTGGAGGAGCTGCGGAGCATCGTGAGCGCTCGGTTAGCTGCGGCCGTGGAGGACATTCTGCTCGCGGTGGAGAAGACTGTGGCGAGGTACCGACACGAGTTTGACCGGCAGAAGATGCAGCGGGCCGGCGTGGAGGTGAAGGAGGAGCCGCCGGGAGCATCCGGAGGTCAGAGACAAATACAGGGAGGGCATCTGACACATTGGGCTACAGGAGGATGGGAGGGCATCTGACACACTGGGCTACAGGAGGATGGAAGGGCATCTGACACACTGGGCTACAGGAGGATGGGAGGGCATCTGACACACTGGGCTACAGGAGGATGGGAGGGCATCTGACACACTGGGCTACAGGAGGATGGGAGGGCATCTGACACACTGGGCTACAGGAGGATGGGAGGGCATCTGACACACTGGGCTACAGGAGGATGGGAGGGCATCTGACACACTGGGCTACAGGAGGATGGGAGGGCATCTGACACACTGGGCTACAGGAGGATGGGAGGGCATCTGACACACTGGGCTACAGGAGGATGGGCAGGGCATCTGACATGTTCTAACACTGGTGTTGCTGCAGGTGTTGCAGATCAACCTTTGAAGCTGGAGCAGATTCAGATCACTGAAGGTAAAACTTTATTCTTTATTAAAGCTGCACCATGTAACATTTTTGTGAGAGGTCGTCTTGCCTGCAATGTTCCACAGTGCGGCATTAAACTAATTAAACATGCTTTTATTCTATCACTGCTCTTTAAAAACCTACATTCTTTCTGTGAGTGGGCTCGCCTCTCCACACACTTAACTTGTAACGTTGCCTCTTCTGCTTATGTTTGAGGAGTTAGCTATGTGTAATGCTGTGCTGCAGAACATTCCAGGGCAGGCCGTATCGTCTCCAAGGAGACAAGCAGGTGGTGGGTCCACCCAGACAAAATTTACACTTAATCGAAACGTGTTCAAATGAGTTGTAGTTGTAGGGAGTATTCAATCCACTGTATTTCTATAGCACATTTCATAAACAACTCAGTTTGCAAAGTGCTGCACAATAGAAATAAAACATGTCCAATAGAAATATAAAAGTCTACTTAACTCCACTCGTCCTCGACAATAAAAGGAGTTTTATCTGTGAACAGGGTTAGAGACATTTTTAGGCTTACATTTTTATTTCCTGATTACCAAGCACCAAGCTCCAAGCATGCTCTAAACCACTGTTTCCCAAACTTTTTTCTGGGGACCCATATTTTAAAAGTTTCAAACCTTCACAATCCAAATCATTAGACATTATTCATAAATCACAAAATCAAGGTGGATTTGAGCATTATTGAACATTATTGAGGATATTTTATTGTTGACTGAGTGACCGTGTCTAAACAATTAGTTTTACTAAAATTTTAAAGAAGGAAAAACAGTCACTGAAGCAGCAATAAAAGGATCCAGAAGTCCTCTGTTTGGACTTTAAATGTAGAACATTTCTTTTTCTTTTCAAGTTTCAATTGCACCAGCAATACTGGAACAAATAAACAATAAAAGAATTACAAAATATTAGAAATGATACAAAACATGTCTTAAACTTTGTAATGAGAGAGGTGTTTGTTTTTATAGCATGTTAGTCCAGGTGCAGGAGGAGACGCAGCAGCAGATCAGGAGCAGCATTCAGTCTGTTTCTGTGTTTTGTTTTCATTTTTGTGAGCACAGAAAATCCCAGTTCACACAAATATGTAGTAGTGAAAGGAATAAGCCGAGAAACACTGATCCTACTGAGTACAGGAGATTCTGATGAAATGCTTATCTAGAATGATGAGAAGGTCACAGACGACCCCAAAACAATCTCTTGCGACCCACCCAATTTTTGGGAAACAGTGTTGTACAGTCCCTGACAAAAGTCTTGTTGCTTATCCATTTTGTAGAAACAAAAGCTTATAACCTGACTTTAAATTAATCGATTGGTTTTAGAAATGTCTCATATGAAAGCTAAAACCCTCCCAAATGATGCTCAATATACTAAAATAAATTTGCTTCACTGAAGAAAGATTGATCATTTAATGAACACAGAAAGGTCAGATTTTGGCAAGACAAAAGTTTTGTCGCCTACAGAAAATTGAACAAGTAATTTACTTTAAATACAAAAATATATTGCAATAACGTCAGTGAATTAAGTAGTGGTGCTGTGAGATCCATATTTAATATCTTGTATGACGTCCATGAGCTTGAAGGACGCATCCACGCGGGTCGACAATGATTCATACAATTTGTTGATGAAGTCATCAGGAATAGCAAAGAAATCAGTCTTACATGCCTCCCAGAGTTCATCAAGAGTCTTTGGTTTTGCCTTCCATGCTTCCTCTTTCATTCTACCCCAGACATGCTCAATGATGTTCATGTCTGGTGACTGGGCTGGCCAGTCCTGCAGCACCTTGATCTTCTTCGCCTTGAGAAACTTTGATGTAGAGATAGAAGTATGCGATGGAGCACCATCCTGCTGCAAAATTTGACCCCTTTTATGGTTGGGAATGTAAGAGGAGCTAATACTTCTTGATATTTTAGGTTATTGATATTGCCTTCCACCCTGCAAATGTCTCACACACCCCCATACTGGATGGAACCACAGACCAGGATTTTTCCACCACCAAACTTAACTGCTTTCTTAACTGTTTTCCTGCAATATTTGCGGCGGCTGTGATGTAATTCAACCGAGGATTCATCTGAGAAATCCACCTTCTGCCACTTTTCCAGTGTCCATCCTTTTATCAGGCTGTGGCCCTTGGCAAATGCCACACGGTTTTTTAATTGCCTTTTGTTTAGTGCTGGTTTCTGTGCACTGATTCGACCATGGAGGCCATTTTGAGACAGAATTCTACAAACTGTTGTGGTTGACACAGGGACTTGAGGTGACCAGGCCTGGTGGAGTCTGCTGCAGTGGAAAAGGGGCTGGCCTTGGATTTTTGAATCAACAAACGGTCCTCCCGAGCAGTTGTCTTGCGGGGTCTGCCGGACCTGGGCTTGTCAAAAACATCTCCAGTCATTTCAGATCTTTTTCTTATTCTTTGTACTTGACGCTGAGACACATTGAAGGTGTCACCACCTCAGCAGTGGATCTGGTCTTCAGCCTCTTGATAATTAATGCTTTGGTCTCAGGGTGGATCTTAGGCATGTTGTCAGAGGTCAAGTTGCAGTTGATGTGAAGGTCTGGTGTGCTGGGGTTCTTTTTATACACACCCACTAATTGATTGATCAGTAACTGATCACAGGTGAGGCTGTAATCTAGGATTGGGTGCATCATATGACAAGGCGACAAAACTTTTGTCTTGCCAAAATCTGACCTTTCTGTGTTCATTAAATGATCAATCTTTCTTCAGTGAAGCAAATTTATTTTAGTATATTGAGCATCATTTGGGAGGGTTTTAGCTTTCATATGAGACATTTCTAAAACCAATCGATTAATTTAAAGTCAGGTTATAAGCTTTTGTTTCTACAAAATGGATAAGCGACAAGACTTTTGTCAGGGACTGTAAATGGATCTATATTGTGATTTATTGTGGCCAAAGTCTAGCATAATGGTCCACAAGTGTCATAGAACTATGAACTATGAACTACAGAGAAGACATAAGTACTATAGGTGTGCTTAAAAGCCCCGCTGCGAGACATTTCATTACATTAGAACTGTTACAGAGAGTTTAGGAGGTCATATGAGGTTTAGTTTGTGTCTAATGGTTTGTCTGGTGTCACAGCCATGGGTCCGGTGAAGGAGGAGCAGATTCTGGTGAACATCAGCCACACATTTGTCAAAGAGGAACCCGGAACTTTTCCACTCAGCGCCCAGTTTCCCGGGGATGCCATTAAGGAAGAGACACAGGAGATCCAAGCATTCCCTCAGAGACACCACAAACTCGAGGAACCAGAGGAGGAATGGCACATTCTACTACGCTCCAAAACCCAACCGGACCAGAACCAGGACCCAGGTCTAAACCAGGATCTAAACCAGGACCAAGGTCTAAACCCAGATTTGGAGCAGGACTGTGAGGAGAGCATGGAGTGGAACTTTGAGGGACTATATCCTGGAGGCAGAAGTACAGAAGGAACGGAACATTCATCTGAAAAGGAACCAATTCCAAAACGAGGAACCGCGAGACCGGATCATTGTAACATTGCCACATTGAACCTGGACCCCAAGGTGCAACTAAACGGTGCAATGCTAAACCAACTACCACTAAATCATGCAACGCAAAACCAACAAAAAGCTGCGCCGTTGGATTCGGGGGACGAGGTAACAGAGAACTCCTCTGACTTTAGCGACTCTGAAACTGAACGCTCCAAATCTGTCAATGAAAGATCGTTCGTTATGACATCACAGCGTTGTGTTCCTGCATTTAAAGGAGAGAAGAAGGCGGAAAAGAGGAAGAAGCTTAATCGCAGAATGACAAAGAAGGGCGAAAAGGTGGTAGCTGTGAAGGAGAGCGGAGCTGATGCGAGCCACACCTCCGCCACATATAAAAGGATGGTTGATTGGCAGCAGAAGGTAACTCCACCCTGTCCAACACCGCCCGGCCAAACGACTCCCCGCGAGACCCTGCCTGGCCAAACAAAGCCCTGTGAGACCTCACCCTGCCCCGTCTGCGGGAAAAGCTTCACGACTAAAAGAAGTCTGAGCCGACACCTGAGAGCGCACGCGAACCAAAGCAGGAAAGAAGGGAAGAAAGAGAGGGAGGCGACGAGAGGAGGAGCAGACAAGAGCAGGAAAGCAGAGGAGAAAAAGAGAGGGAGTGAGATTGTGCAGAAGAGACAGGAAGAGGACAGAGAGAAAGGGAGGGAGAGAACGCAAGGGAGCAACAAGAAGAGAAAGAGACAAAAGACAAGAGGGGGAGTGGAGGAGAGCGAGAAGAAAGGGGGAGAGGGAGTGCAGAAGAGAGCAAAAGTGGAGGAGATGAGAGTGGAGGAGATGAGGGAGGAGAGAGCGAGGGGGGAGGAGAGAGCGAGGGAGGAGAGAGCGAGGGAGGAGAGAGCGAGGGAGGAGAGAGCGAGGGAGGAGAGGAGCAGACAGATGCAGAGGATGGAAACTGACAATGAAACAGACACAGACCAAACCAGGGACTCCTCAGATGAAAACTAAAACCTGCACAGCCCTGGTTTAGTCCTGGTTCACAAAAAATAGATCTACTAAAAACTTGAAATAAGATCCAAAACAAAGGACCTTATCCAGGTCTAAACCAGGACTAAAACGAGATTAAACAAGGGCTAACCAGGACGAATGAAAGCTACAGTTCCAGCTTGTTGATTTTTCTGATGTGTTTTGAGTCTCAGGTTTTATCTGGTTTTATGTATAAAGAAGATGACTTTTACAATTTTGCTCATTTCAGGAAGGACTGTTTTTTTTTTCTTTTTTTTTTGACCATTTTGAATCTGTGAAACATACTTACGAATGAAGTTCCTCATAACGTTCAGACTCCAGAGAAACCTTTCAGCTGTTCATACCAAACTCAGGAAACAGAAGTCTCATCTGTAAATGTTGTGAATAAAATGTATGAAATTATTTATATTTCAGCAAAATTATTTCAATCTATCATGCTTGTGTGTGCTTTGCTGTTATAATCAATGGATCCATGGATTGTTGTTATAATTTGGACAGTTTAAATCACACTATTCAGAGGGTCAATGAGAAAAACTTCTCTTAACACGGTAAAAAGCTCTGACATAACTTGCAGGGTTCCCACAGTCATGGAAATTCTGGAAAAGTCTTGGAAATTAAAAATGTCATTTTCCAGGCCTGGAAAAGTCATAGAATTTTCGTATCTCTTTCACGTAACTCCAGCATTCTGTTAAGTTCTCATGAGGCTGTTATGATTATTTGTGAACATTTGTGTCTTTTGTTTAAAAGAGACGACAATAAATGCATTGACAGGATTTAGAATGTTCAAAAACTATAATCCCAAACCATAAGGTGAGTGGAAAGAGTTAGAGTTCATATTTAGCCCTAAAAGTGTGATCAATTCTTCACATGTAGGAGCCTTTAAAGTCATGGAAAATTCACTCGTGGAAAAGTTTTGAAATTTTGTCAGTGAAAAAAGAGTGGGAACTCTGAACTTGGTATAAATATTGAGTTGTGTCACAGTGAAACTAACACAGCTCAAACAAACGACCCAGGAGACAGAATGGTGCTTGCGTCGTCTTTTATTCCAGCGATGAAAATATGAAAAACCAAAAGCAGGGACAAACTCTGCACCCTGAATGTGTCTGTTAAAGTGCAAAACGACGCCACAAAACCAGTTCAACTTTAACAATTCTTTTTTTTTTTTTTAACAATTTTAAAAACCGACACAAAAACATGCAGAGACGAGACACTGCACAAATTTAAACAATCAGACGGAGGCTCTCTGGGGACAAAACTCACATGGCACAATATGAAGGTTTAATCATGTGAAATATACAAATTAAAGCCAATGTACAAAGGACTAGAGCTATAGGATGTTTACATTTTATTTTCTGTCCCCAAAGAGGCTCAAACAAAAACAAAACATTTCAAACTAAACAGAAAAAAAAAATATTTGGGTCAAATTATGAAGAACTGCATCGCAGGAAGCAAAGGAGAGAGGGAAGGAAAGAGGAGACAAGGAAAGGAGACAAGAAGAGCAAAGACAAGGAGAGAGGAGGCAGGAGACGAGGAGAGAGGGAAGGAAAAAAGGAGGTATAGGAGGAAGGAAAGGAGACGAGGAGGAAGGAGGAGGGAGGACCCGAGCTCTGATCCGATTCTATCTTTGACCCGTTTAAGTTTCACAGTGATTCACCTTCTGCCTCCAACAGTCGCTAAGAACCATGGGTAATGTAGTTCAAAGTTAGTCCGGGTTTAGTCCTTGGTGACAACCAGGTTCATATGAGTCCTCTTTATAGTTCCCAATTTCCTGGTTTAGTCCTGTTTTAGTCTAGGTTTAGACCTGGTTCAGTCCTGGTTTAGTCCTGACTAAATTCTGTTAGTCCTTGTTTAGACCTACAGTAGTTTAATCCTGGTTTAGACCTGTTTTTAGTCCTAGTTTAGTCCTGTTTTGTACCCACTTGAATCTTGGTTTTAGTCCTGGTTTAGACCTGTTTTTAGTCCTATTTATTTAGTCTTGTTTTTAATCCTGGCTTAGTCCTGTTTCAGACCTGGTTTAGTCCTGGTTTAATAGCTCAGTTCAAACTCACTTTCTTTTCCTTTAACATCCATTAAAAAAAATAAACAATCACTCGACTCCAAACTGCATTTCTGAACAAATTAAATAAATTGCAAATATATTTTAGTTTGGATCGATTTTAAAGCAGAAAATATGTAAAATTCCCCAAAAATTCAGCATTAAACAAACTTTTCAAGAGTGCAACTTTAACCACTTTTAACACAGGAATTCAAATACATTTTCAAATCTCACTGCATTTTTGGAACTATGGGGAATTATATTTTTATGTTATCCAGTAGAATTAAATAATGACATAAAGGAAACACATTTCAACAAATCCACAAAAAGTCATTGACATTAAGGCATTAAAGAGGGGGTATTTGACTTATGTGGGGTATGAAGTATAACACAGAACAGATTTAGATCACCATGTTCCCTGGAACATGCTACAGTATGTTTGCCCAGAACAACGTACTGACATGTTTAATACATTTCACTTTCGTTTTTGACCCTCCATTTGCTCACTCCCCCTTCAGAGCACTATCACAACACACTGAATTAGCTAATGAATCCACTGCACATCTCATCGGGTTTGTCAAGTTCCTGTGTAGTTTCGCATTATGTTTTTGTATATTTATGGAGGATTGTTGTGTATCATTTCACTTGTACTGCTAACCAGAAGGAGTCTCTAGATTACTCAAACATGCATGGATGACTCTAAAACCTCTCCAGGTGTGTTTTTGATGAGGTAACAACATTATTAAAAAAAATTATAATTGAGGAATACCCCCTCTTTAAATTTTTCCCAGCAACAAAGAAACTTCCAACTGAAATTTCCAACTGAAATTTAGAATTTAAATAAATAATTAGTGCAAAGATTTGGGGGAATAAATACATTTACATTCAAAAATATTTTTGATCTGAAAATGATCCTAATCTGTGTCATATTAAACAGTCATATTTAGTGTTTTTTTGCCGCAGAGGATTGTGCTTCTGGAGATGAGATGTGTTTTTATTTTAGTCACTAGAGTACTGGAATTTGGTGCATTGTGTTGGTTCCAGTAATAATTATGTACTGATATTTCTACTTGAATAATTACTGCACTTACACTACAGTTCTGGTACTATGTTTTACAGATGTGTTCAAAATTGTTGGTACCCTCTAATAATGAAAGAAAAATCAACAATGATTACTGAAATTATTTGAAATCAAGAAAAGCAATAATAAGTACAAAATTTCCTGAAAAATAAACGAATGAAAATCAGACACTGTTTTTGAATTGTTCTTCAACAGAATTATTTAAAAAAACAAACTAATGAAACTGGCCTGGACAAAAATGATGGTTCCCCAAGAGAAGATTGTAAACAGTTGGACAATAGGGACATGTTAAACTTCAGTGTGTCTCTAATCTGCATCACAGGTGTCTGTCTGTTTAAAGGGGCACATGTGTCATTCTGCTGTTTGGAGACATGATGGACACAACACTGAACATGGACCAGAGAAAGAGAAGAAGAGAACTGTGTCAGGAGACAAGAAAGAAATCGATAGACAAGCAGGTTAAAGATAAAGACAATAAAACCATCTCCAAGCAGCTTGATGTTCCTGTGATTACAGTTACACATGTTCTTCAGAAGTTTACAGTCCACAGGACTGAAGCCAACCTCCCTGGACGCAGCTGCAAGAGGAAAACTGATGACAAAATGAAGAGATGGATCATACGAATGGAACCAAAGAGCCCAGAAGAACCTCCAGAGAAACTAAATGTGAACTTGAAGGGCAAAGTACATCAGTGTCAGATCACACCATCCATCACTGTTTGAGCCAAAGTGGACTTCATGTGAGGACACCACTACTGAGAGCAAATCATAAAAAAGTTAAACTGGAATTTGCCACAATGCAGACTGACAAGTCACAAAACTTCTGGGAGAATGTTCTTTGGACAGATGATACAAAACTGAAGCTCTTTGGCAAGACACATCAGCTCTATGTTCACAGACGCAAAAATGAAGTAGACCAAGAAAAGAACAGTGTCCCTACTGTGAAACATGGAGGAGACCTGGTTTTGTTCTGGGGCTGTTTTGCTGCATCTGGCACAGGGTGTCTTGAATCTGTACAAAGTACAACGGAATCTCTAAACTATCAAGGTATTTTGGAACAAACTGTGTTGACTAGTGTCAGAAAGCTTGGTCTCAGGCGTAGGTCATGGGTCTTCCAACAGGATCTCCAGATCTCAGTCCTATTGAGCGTCGGTAAAATGAGCTGAAACATGCATCTGGAGAAGGAACCCTTCAAACCAGAAACAACTAAAACAGTTTGCTCATGTGGAGTGGGTCAAAATACCTGTTGACCAGAGCAGAAGTCTCATTGACAGTTACAGAAATCATTTGTTTGCAGAGTTTGCATCAAAAGGTTGTGCAATAAAATATTATGTTAAGGGTACCATCATTTTTGTCCAGGCCAGTTTCATTATTTTGTTTTTTCTACTGATTCTGTTGAATCACAGGTGAAAAACAATGTTTAATTTTTGTTGGACAATTTTCAGTAAATTTTTATTTAATATTACTTTTATCAGTTTCTAGTTATTTCAGTGATGATTGTTGATTTTTCTTTCATTACCAGAGGGGTACCAATTATTTTTGTCCACGTCTGTAAATGGTCTTATTAATGAACCTTCTTATGTCATTCTCAGTTTTTTCATCAGAAAAATCTAAAGTCACATGTTTTTTGTCCCCTGATTATTTCTATATTTCTCCAATCACAACATCTGGAAGGGCATCTGACGCACCACAACATCTGCAGATTTACTAGAGACATGTGACCTGCTCCATCTCTGACACACAAGGATACAGGAGGATGGGAGGGCATCTGACACAGGGATACAGGAGGATGGGAGGGCATCTGAGTTAAACAGTTCTAAATTGTTGTAATGTAGAATAGTTCTTATTTACTTGTGTTAAAATTAAAGTTTACATTATTTCTTACTCGTTCACAAACCTCTAATCGCTCTGAGCTTATTGCCTTTTTCACACAAAGAGACACATCTGGAAGAACGTCTCTCAAACCCGTAACTGCCAAACTGCTCCAAACTGTGCCGACCTGTGTCGACCTGTGCTGAACTGTGCCATGTCCCACTGCACCTAAGAGTCTGTGTAACATTCAGGGACAAACCAAAGAAACAAAGCACGAATACAAAGACAGTTCTGCTCAACTCCTCAAGTCCTGGTTCAGTCCTGGTTCAGTCCTGGTTCAGTCCTGGAGCAGATGAGCAGAGCTGAACATAAAAACAAAATGGCATGGGCTTCATTCTTCCATTATCTGGATTTCCACCAATGCTTCATACGCCTCCTCCCCTGACTCTGACATCTGAACTGCAGTACTGTTACTGCAGTAATGTTACTGCAGTACTGTTACTGTACTGCTGTTACTGCAGTACTGTTACTGCAGTATGGCACATGTATTTGTGGTCAGACCTCAGAGCCGGAGTCACAGAATGGCGTTTCGTGTCAGTGCTCGTCCGGTTTAGGCCGCTCCCCGTCCGGCTCGGCCCTGCCCCCTGCCCTCACTGCGGGCAGCTCCAGCTCCACCGGTGTTAGCATGAGCTCCACCTCCCGCCCAGGGCTGAGGGCGGGGCTGGGTGCCGGGTTCGGGGCTGGGTTTGGTGGCACAGAGTGCCCCGGTCGCGGGGCTTTCTGGATGACCTCAACCATGTGACTGGACGGCAGCTCCCAGTTGGGGTTCTGGAGTAGGAGCGGCGCTCCCAGGACCACACCCCGGTCAGGTGGTGCTCCCAGAACCACGCCCCTGTCGGGAGGTGCTCCCAGGACCACGCCCCTGTCGGACGGCAGGTGCCCGAACACCAGTGCCGGGTCCTGGATCACCAACTCCACCACAGAGGAGCCAGAGACACTAGGGGCGGACGAGGCCTTCTGGATCACACCGCCTGTCACTGAGGTGATGATGGAGGGTGGGGCCTGGGCAGGCAGCGGCGCAGGGGGTTGGGCCTCTTCTGGCCGGGGTTTCCTGGGACGTCCTCGTTTGCGTTTGACAGGTGGTGCGGTGTTTGGGGTGTGAGGAGCGTTTTCCAGGCGTCGCTTCGCCTTCTGCACAACCGAAGTGTGCGCGGCGGCGGAGGGAGCGGGGCAAGCTGGCCCGGAGCTGTTTGGGGGTGGGGCCATGTTCTCCGCTCGTAGGATCATGAGCGGCACCGCCCCCTGCTGCGGCGGCTGCAGCGCTGCCATGGCGATAACCTTGACCCCGCCGCCCGAGTTAGCAGCCGGAGCATTAGTGGTGTTAGCCGGGTTAGCCGACGCTGATGCCCCCGAGGCGTCCTTAGGAGCAAGAGACGGAGGAGATGAACGAACAGACAGAGAGTCGGGGAGAGAGCTGCGCGGCAGGATCGTCGGCAACTTCTTCATGTACGCCTCCACCTGAAAAAGAGAGGGGTGGGTTCAGACACCAGAGAGAGACAGGGAGAGGGGAAGCACCAATAACAACATAAACAAAATACAGAGCAATTATCAGACTACGTCACTGCACTCTACTGCACGTCTCCTGCACAAAGAGCCTCTGTCCTGTCTGTATCATGTCAGTGTCCTGTAGAATTTCAGCAGACTTCAGGTTATCCTGGGGGTGGGGATAGGTGTATTGATCAGGTATGAGTGGATGACCGGCTACTGAAGTTTGAGATGTTTCTTCTCGTCATTTACACACTCACCTGTATTTAAATCGTATGGGTCATTAAGATGTATCCTACTCACTAATGTTCATTTAGCTTCAGAACTTAATTTATCACACGGTGATAAACAGTTTTAGTCCTGACAACTGCGCTGGCTAGTGTTGCAGCTTCATGTTAACCGCACAGACAGTTGCGCTTTCTGCACTCAGGCCGCGCGCATCCACTGCTCTGACCAACAAAAAAATTTTCTAGTATAATACTGAGTAAATAAAACATAACAATGAAGGTATTTTTCTCTTTACCATGGTCTCAAACTTGTCTCTAAAATCTTTCCAATAACCAAGGATTAGTGTGTTATGTTTAAGTTGTTGTTGTGTGCTGTGCCTGCAGGTGGCGCCCCAGTGTTTGAGCTGGAGTTGTAGTTATGTGCTGTACCTGCAGGTGGCGCCCCACGGCCGGACGGGGCTGAGGCTCAGATGGCTTGACTCGGTCCTTCACAGAGACGCACAAGTCGCCCGTGTCCTTCTGTCAAAACAGAAAAACTTTATTTTAAAAACACTGAGAGAAATTTGCATCGAGTTTTTCACCTTTGGGTCTGAGGTGGAGTCCGAGTCCGGTTTAGAGACGCCTGAGGTCTTCTTTATCACTTTGTACGGTTTGACAGGACACCCTGAAAAATAGTCCAGAAGCAGACTTGAACCAGGACTAAACCAGGACTGAACCTGGACTAAACCAAGTCAAAGTCTCCCCTGGTACCTGCCAGCGCGGCACCGGTCACCAGCTCTGCCTGGGCGCAGCGTGGGTTGACAATGTGCTCCTGGATCAAGTAGCGGGCAATCTCGACCACAGTGTCAAAGGAACGCTTCAGGATCTTCTGCGCCCAATCACAGATCAGCTCGCACGCCGCCTCTGTCACCTCGTGTTTGTACGTCTGCACCAGCTCCGTCAGCTCCGACTGAAGAGACCAGAGACATGAGACCAGGACTGAACCAAGACTGAACCAGGAATAAAAACAAGACTCACGGGGTCGTTCTTCAGGTCGAGGTTGGGCAGCAGAGGCATGTTCAACACCGTCTTCCTCCTAATCCCACTGTAGCAGTATGTGTCCAAAGAGTCAAGGGAATCCTTTGTTCCATCTGACCATCCACTGACTCTCTAACCCTCTCCTCTACTCCTCTGACCCTCTCCTCAGCTCCTCTACTCTTCTCACCCTCTCCTCAGCTCCTCTGCCCCTCTCCTCAGCTCCTCTGATCTTCTCCTCAGCTCCTCTGCCCCTCTCCTCAGCTCCTCTGCCCCTCTCCTCAGCTCCTCTGCCCCTCTCCTCAGCTCCTCTGATCTTCTCCTCAGCTCCTCTGACCCTCTGCTCTGCTCCTTTGACCCTCCTGAAAGTTTTCACATTTTAAACCCATCCATGAGCATTCACATCTGAGAGAGACTGAAATCTGAACTTTAAACTAATCCAAGAATCCCATCCATTTCAGAACATATTAGCAGCTTTTACATAGAATAAGACCCCATGGAGACACAGGGAGGGCATCTGATACACAGGGAGGGGATCTGACACACAGGGAGGGCATCTGACACACAGAGAGGGCATCTGACACATAGGGAGGGCATCTGGGAGAAAGGATATTTGGACTGGCCTCTTCCTCCAAGTCTTCGGGCTTTGATATTTGGGAAAATATCCCGAATGATTTTTCCAAAGTTTGCAGCACTGAGTGGACGATGCTGTAGGTTTTCACAGTGACGCCTGAAAAACATGAAAATCAGGACTGAACCAGCACTGACCCAGGAATAAACTAGGACTAAACCAGGACTAAACCAGCACTGAACCTTGCCTTGCTTGACTAGCCCGTCCCTTTTACATTCTACATCATCCAAATGCGGGGTTAACACGTTATAAAAGTAATGAATTACTGTAATGCGTTGCTTTTTTGCTGTAAGGCATTACAAGAAAAAAATTGTAATATTTTACTCGGTACAAATGTGAGTTTTGGTTTAAGTCCTGGCTCAGCTCTGGTTTAGACCTGGTTCAGTCCTGGCTGAGCTCTGGTTTAGTCCTAGTTTAGTCTTGGTTTTGTCCTGGTTCAGCTCTGGTTTAGTCCTGGTTTAGTCCTCGGTTCAGTCCTCGGCTCAGTCCTGGTTTAGACCTAGTTTAGTCCTGGTTAAGCTCTGGTTCAGTCCTGGTTTACTCCTGGTTCAGTCCGGGTTCAGCTCTGGTTCAGTTTTGGTTTAGTCCTGGTTTAGTCCTGGTTTAGACCTGGTTCAGTCCTCCAGGTTCAGTCCTGCTTTAGTCCTGGTTCAGTCCATATACGGTCCATATTGGCGGCACGGTGGCTGAGTGGCTGGGTTCGATCCCCGGGTCGCCCGGGCCTTTCTGTGTGGAGTTTGCGTCCCCGTGTCTGGATGGGTTTCCTCCGGGCGCTCCGGTTTCCCCATCAACCCAAAACATGCTACATAGGTCTCCAAGAACAGGTGATAGTCAAGGTCAGTTAAATACAATCAATCAATGTATCAATCAATAGCTAGACACTTCACCCACATTGCCTAGTATGAAAGTGGTGTGTGAGAGTGATAGTGGTGGTCGGATTGGCATGGCAGCTGCGCTTCTGTCAGTCTGCCCCAGGGCAGCTGTGCTACTACAGTAGCTTACCATCACCAGGTATAGAGTGAATGGATAATGCTGAATGTAATGATCTGTAAAGCGTCTTTGTGACAAAAAATGTCTATGAAAAGCGCTATATAAATAGGGACTTACTTACTTATATACGGCGCAAAAGTTAATGCAATAGTAATGCAATGCCTTACATTTTAAACACAGTAATATTGTAATGTAACAAATTACTTAGTAACAAGTCATAAATAACGCATTACAGTTTTAAAGTAACTTGCCCAACAGTGAGGCTGACCAGGGCAAACGCGAGGGTTTCAAAAGTAAGTTTTAAAGCTCTTATTAACAGTCTTTCTGGACCTGGGCTCTTTCACATGGCACAGAACTGCCCCAGGAGCACGTTGTGCTGATGGTAAACGCACAAATACAACAATAGATCCATGCTCTCTGTGTATTTTGATGGGAATACGCGCCTACACTCGTGTAGAGCGTCAAAAAGTAGGATGGATCCTATTTTTTGTAATCTACGCGTGCAGGACGTGCTGCTCCCTACGAGCGCTAGCGTGTGCAGTGGAGCCACCGTCATTCACTTTCCGTGCATTCTAAAAGTTACGCGTCCAAAACTTGCAGTTTTTACGCTCAGGTCGGGCAAAATACGCACATGCAGTGGCACCAGGCCCCAAGCATGGGATCCGTGCAGATGGTACCGAGGTGGTGCAAAACATCCAGACAGAAGCGCGAAACCCGTTTGGTTGGTTATATGCTGTTCTGAGCGGTCTGTCCTCACATTTGGCTCTTCTCGGGGAAAGCACACCTAACCCCGCTCCCTGACCTGAACCGGCGCTGCTCCTGCTGGTTCAGGACTCTGGTTTGGACGCTGTTCCCCAGTTTGTATGAACGTACCCCCAAGCTTAACGACAAACCGAGATGACACAAAAGCCGGTAGCAGCTGAAGTGTGTGTTTTCTTCCGGTCGATGTAAATACGTTTGTGTCCCTGTCCTATCAGAACCCATCCCCAGACGCTGAGTGGAATTAAATAAAGACGATTTAATGTGTTTTCCATGTAAACCTCAATTCGGATTTATTATTTCTATTTAAACTCGAAGGAGAAGAATTTAATTCCGTATGGTAGGTATGAAAATATATCCCTAATTTTAGATAAGTAATGGTTTGGTGCTTTGATTGCTGTAATGATCTGTGCTGTTTCTCAGTTGGAAGTGAACAGAGTATGCGTCTTTTTGATTGGCTAATCTGCCTGTCAATCATGCCTTCTGAAATCAGAGAGACAGTTTTCTCAAAGCATGTGAATCCGGCTGGTCAGGTAAGACTAAACCAAGACCGAAGCAGGACTACACCAGGACAGATCACTTCTAAATCCATGTAAAAAGATTTAGTCTAAATCAGGACTAAACTAGAACTAAACCCGGTCTAACCCCAGTCTGAACTCAGTCTAAACCCAGTCTAAACCGGGTCTAAGCAGGTCTCACTTGTAGGTCTCATAGACGTCCTGTTTAGGCAGACAGGTGTCTGAGTGCTCCTCCAGGTGACTCCGGATCCAGTTACAGGTGTGAAGCTGGTCAGCTGTGTTCAGAGAGCCACAGTCTCCTCCACTGTAACGGACACAAGAAAGACCATTAAACTACTGCAGAGAGGAGAGGGGAGGAAAGGAGAAGACAGTGGAGAGGACTGTGGAAAGGACAGGAGAGATGAGAGGGTTAAACTAAAGCTGGTCCACTTTGTTCAGAGAGGACAGTCTGTGCCACTATAAAGGAGACTTTACTACACAGACCTCCTGTCAGTGCTCGTACTACAACAGTAATACACAGTAATACTGACTGTTACATCCCAACCACCTGACAAACTCATATGAAATGTCACTTCTTTGTGAATGACCTCACAGTGACACATGAGCGTACCCCTTGTCTCCGGAGCTGGGGCCTGAGGGCAGCTGCAGGTACAGGTACAGTTTGTCATTGTCTGAGAACCGCTGCACCTCTGTCTGCACAAAGAGATGGGAACATTTTTCATTATTTTAATTTAAAACTTTAAACTTTTTGAGTAATTAAAGCAACTGAAGTAAACAAACACTTACTAAAATCTGCTCCACTTTGGTCTGAACTTGTTTGCTGAAAAAAGGACAGACGTTTAGCCCGCTGTGTTGTAAAGCTGTTAAACCACACTAAACTCTTTTATAAATGATTAAATATTAGGGATGTAACGATCTCCAAATCTTTCAGTACGATATTTTCATGATATGCATCTCACGGTACGATATTTATTGCGATATTTTGTGGAGGTTAACACAATTGTGAATATGTGACTTTTTCCTTTTAAAATGTCATGGCAAGCCTTTGGTACTGTTATAATACAAAGAATTAAGATTTAAAAGTACTTAATAGTGGTTATTCCTTCATGTAGTCTGTGCTGAAACAGCAAAGGATCATGGTCTATATAGTTCTGTTTTTTTTTAGCTATTACTGCACCACAACATTGAATTTAAGGAAAGAGAGTTGTGATTCAATATATTGTGACAGGCCACGGTATTATTGTGAGACTTTTGAAGCTATGATAGCACAATACTTCAGTTATTGTTACAGCCCTATTAAATATATTGGTTTATCTCGTTTTTCTTACGAGATGTTGTTCTTGAGCTTCTGCAGGAGCATGCTGGGCTCTGTGTCGCCCTCCGGTGGCTCCAGGTCCACTGGATGAGTAGCACTGTCCTCCGACATCTCTGCCCCAGTCACACCATCTGCACCAGACAACAGAAAATAAAAGAAAAAATCACATATATAATGTCGTTACCTCAAAAACATACTTCAAAAACTACAAGAGTTGCGGTTTGTTTTATTCACACATGTTTGAGTAATCCTTTAGTATTATTATCTGTCTACATCTCCAAAGCTCAGATTGCTCTGTTCCACCTTGTGATGTCATATAGTGGTAGCTATAAAGTTAACAGCTCCTATTGCATTTTGTTCAGTAGAGATAGGTAATTCCTGGGCTGAAATGATCCAGATAATTCTAGTTAAGGTGTGTGGAGTTTAAAAACACAGTAGAGCACTTTCTGAATTACCGCGTGACATCACAAGGTGAAACAGGGTTTTTTCTGTTTGAGAGAAGAACTCAACCAAAATATGCAGGGTTTGTGTTAAACATGTGTGAATGAAACAAAATTCCAGGTAAGTTTTTGATGAGGAAACATTACAAAACAGATCAGTCAAGTTTAACATTGGCTCTTTAAGAACTAATGACGGATGACTCAGGTGTAAAAACAGGTTTGGACCACACAAAGGTAACAGCAGCCCTTCTCCTGTGAACAACTACTAACTCATCATTACATCAGGTTGTGTGTAATAAATGCCTCTTTAGTTTTAATAAACCGATAGTAAAATAACCAAATTGTTGAGATGTGCTTCTGATTTTGAGGCTTGAATTGAAATGCCTTTGTCTGTGTAACTCATCAGGCCCCGCTCCGTGTTCTTTTAATGAAACTATATTAAATCTCAGAAGTGTTTAGTCTGAGTTCCAGAGCACCGGGCTGTGTGTCTTATGTCACCGAAGCTAGCCGCCTGTAGCCCCGCTCCTCCCGCCGTGAGTCCCCCGTAAATCCGCCCTGACCCGTGTTTACTCCGCTGCTCATGTGCTTTTACTACGCACCGGAGCTGTCACAACAAAGCTCCGGGCTAACACAGGCTAACGCGGCTGACAGAGGTGCACTGGGCCGGGACAGAGTCAGTTACGCCCGGAGAGACAGCAGCTGCAGCCGGCAGGCACCCTCGGGCTCCCCGAGCCCAGCACAGCAGCCCCAGCCCACTGTCAGATCGCTGCGCCCGGCCGCGGTGTCCGCCCGCTGTCACAATAGTGGACGTAGCACAGTAGCTTAGCCTAGGCTAGCTCTCTGAGGCTAGCTCTGCTCTGAAATAGGCTTTTTACAGGTTCCCTCTCGGCGTTTAAAGCGCAGAACCGGCCCGCTCATGTGCTTTAATGTCTGTTTGATTATTACGGGGCCGCTTTTGTGAGTCATTTTGTGGTAATTGATTTATAAAATAAAAAGAAAGTACCTGAGCAGAGATAGAGCAAAAATCCCCTTCAGATCTTTTTGTGATTGGACGGCTTTGTCATGTCTGCCTGACTACAAACCCGGGCCGCACTCTCATTGGCTAGCTGTCATGGCGCCGGCACGCAGCGATTATTGTGATTGGCTTCTGGGCACTGGTCTGCCCAGTTACAGCGCAGATGGGTCTAATCTGCCTAGCAACAGCAAAGTGAAAGCATCCAAGGCACGCAGGGCCACGCACAGCTGCGACGCCTTTGTTCTGCCACACTTTATTGAACTATTCACTCCGCGTTCTTCCGACTCCGGCCAGAAATATGTTTTACCATAAAAATAATAGCACTTTTCAGATTGTTCAGAATCTGTACATTATAATTGCAGATCTTTGGTGGAATCAAAATCTTTTTTTTTTTTTTTTTTTTTTTTAGACTGATTTAAATCATGCATACTCTAAATTAAATGTTGTGCTACAAAAATAATAGAAAAATGTATGATACCAAATATATATATATATATATATATATATATATATATATATATATATATATATATATATATATATACATTTTCGTCCGCTTATCCGGGGCTGGGTCGCGGGGGCAGCAGCCTAAGCAGGGACTCCCAGACTTCCTTCACCCCAGACACGTCGTCCAGCTCCTCAGGGGGGACCCTGAGGTGTTCCCAGGCCAGCCCAGAGACATAGTCCCTCCAGCGTGTCCTGGTTCTTCCCCGGGGCCTCCTCCCGGTGGGATATGCCCGGAACACCTCCCGAGGGAGGCGCCCAGGAGGCATCTGGAACAGATGCCCGAGCCACCTCAACTGGCTCCTCTCGATGTGGAGGGGAGCCAGGTGGTATATGTGCATACATTATAATATATATATATATATATATATATATATATATATATATATATATATATATATATATATATATATATATACACACACACACACATATACATACATACACATACATATATATAGACACACACATACACATATATATTTGTGCACAAAATACTCCCTTGTGTTGCCTGCTCCGTTTCTGTGCTGATTTCTGTTAGTTTGGTGTTAATCAGTGTAAAATGCATAAAAATTAGAAAAAGATTTGGTTCTTTTAAAAAATGTGCTCTGGTTACAACCGTCCACAAGAAATGACTCATTCACAAATGTAACATCACTCATTCTGTACACTTGCAGGCCTTCGTTCTGTGCTGTCACAACAATGAAATTTTGCCCATTATCAGACCATCCAACTTTGAACATGCAGCTGACAGATAAACTCTTAAAATAATTTTTAAAAATGACTCGACAGTTGAATCCATGACTTCTCGGATTTTGCATTTATTCAATTGTACAAAAACATTAAACATCAGAAAGAACTACATGAGGGAGGGATTGAAGCACTTCCACTTTTACTCCATTTAGAGCTGGGCTTCACTCGAATCCACTGTAGAAGAAAGAGACAATTTTTTATTCATTAAGAATACTTTTATATATACGTATATAATGGTATAGTTCATCTCTGTCCCTCACCTGACCAAGTGTGCAATGTCCCAGTTGGTCTCAGATGAAAGAGGTCCAATTATCTCCACTCCTTCAGCTGTCACTATGGCAATCTCATACTAAAAAACAAAAATATGAAACCATATTTTATGGAGGGACAAACCCAGAGGAGCAGAGAAAATAGCAGCATAGCTAGAGAAACGGAGACGAGATGACAGGGACAGAAGAGCACACTGACCCTGTTGTAGGATCTGGCGTCTCTGTAGTAGAGCACTTTGAGGCAGCGTTCGATCAGATCTCGAGCTTCTTGTTTGGAGAGGTCTGTCCTGTTCTCCACCACCTCCCTCATCAGCGGCTGCACAGAAACAAAAGAGCTCACATTTATCCCAAACAGAATTTAGAAAACTTGACTTGATTTTAAAGCCACAGTATGTAACTTTTTAGACAAAAAAATAAAATAAAATAAAAGCATGGGTTTTTATTGCACTGAAAAACCTTTAAAGCTACAGTATGTCCATTTCTGGAGGTCGCATCTGTATAATTCCATGGAAATAGAAAATTAAAAACATACTTCAAATGTTGTCCATAAAGATAAATATATTTTGTGCCACACTGTGGAATGTTATAGCCAGAGGAACAACATTTCCAAAGAAACAAGCAGGACAATTGGAGTAAGGTCACTGGAGATGCAAGCCCACTCACTGTAAGGATGCATGTTTCAGTGCAATAAACACAATGAAAATGAAGAAAAAACAGACACTTTTATTTTAGTTTTTTGGCAAAAAAATGTTTTTTTCTGACAAGCATTGTGAGTGACAATAGATTTGCAATGTGGCTTTAATAATAGAATTCTGCTCAAAGTTCACATTTTAAACATGTCCAGAAGAATTGACAAAAAGACTGAAATACGAACTATAAAAACTAATTCAAGAATCAGATTTCAGGACATGTTTATGCAAAATAAAACAGGAGATTTTGTACTTCAAAAATTGCAGCCTTTGTGATTTGCTAATTGCTTTTAAATTGTGATGAATCTTGCATCTTTTAAAGTGTCCCCATTAATGAAAGGTGCTCTGCTCTTACCTGCGCCAGGTAAGCGCCGAAGCCTGTGGCCACAGTGGGAGCCTCATAAGCCACGCCCAGTTTGTCTACGTAACCTAGAAACCTGCACAAACAGGAAGCCCCGGGTCAAACAGAACACCACCACCACTCACAGGTGAAATCTACATGTTTTCATAATTTCTTCTTATTAATATATGATACATTATGCAAAATAGGCTCTTGTGAACTTTACGCCATTATATTACAATAATGTTACCTCCTCAAAAAGAGACCTGGAGTGTAATCATTTAAAAACATCCAAAAATCCTGTGGAGGTAATTGGCGCAGCAATTAATTTTATTCTGCACTGCATTTACTATAACTTAAAGGTGTCTTGCCCCAGTACAGATATCTTGTATAAACAGCTCTTGAGATCAAAATAAGTCCTCTGTGTACTGTCTGCATACAATTATAAAGCATTCTATTGTCCCAGAATCTGTATGTCAGCATGCTAGTTGTTGACAGAACTAGTTTATTTTAAACAGTTTGCAGTGATCCAAAGTTATTCCTCACTTATCTTTCATTCTAAGCATCCAAATTATTTTCAACTCTCAGATACCAGAGCAGAGTTTTTTAGAACTGAAGACAGACAGGACACAGTGGACTTCTTTTGACCTCTGTACTGGGGCAAGACACATTTGCTCAAATACATGGGGAAAGATAATCACATATGGGGGGTTGAAATCTACATCGAACCCCTGAGCCTGGGCTCTGTTGCTAGGCTGCAGAGGTTCCATAATGCTCCATACCCAGGCCTGTCACAATAACAAATGTTGAAGTGCGATACATTGCTATACAGACAATAAACGATAATATTATAACTAATTTATGCCACTGACACAAAAAACTAAAGCAGGTTTATACCACAAAAAAACTATTCTAAATCTACAATATTGTTAAAAAATATGAGCTACTTAAAACTTAATGTATTTTCTGAACTATAAGGCACACTTAAAATCCTTTAATTTTCTCAAAAATTGTCAAGGTGCACTGGATTATAAGGCACACATGAATTCTGGTTTTGCTTACTGACTCCAAACCGATTTCATGTGGCACATGGCGCACAAAAATCTGTCAAATGTGTTAGTACGACTTTGGTAAGTGAAGCTGCACTACTTAATGGATTTCCAAGTATTACGGCAACCATAGTCAGGAGCCTCGTGGAATAAGTTAGTCCAACAGAAGCTGACTGCATCAGGGCACAAGGAGGGAGCCGTTTCTTCAGCACTTAGAGTTTATGCAAATTAGCCATGTGGTTTTAAGCTTTGGTCCTGTAAAATGTAAACAAATGTGCGCAAAGCTGTATTAAACACATTATTTCTCAATGTATATTTGAGTTCTCCTCGTAGCAAATAAAGAAACAAACTTAAATGATCCACCTGCATTCACACTCATAATCCACATTAACCAAGAGAGGGAAGCAACACCGGGCGAGTTACGCCTCGATCTGCCAATGGATTGTGGACGCCTGGGCCAAGGATCAGTCTCAAGTGTCATCTGTTTGTTTCGCTTAATACGCCTTTTAATCTGGTGTGCGTTATGTATGAAAAATACGATAATTTAACGCTTTAGTACTTACTTTGCATCTGTATTGAGTCATAGAAGTGATTTATTCAACCTTCTTTGGCTCAAATCTCATCATATAGCCAAAAATAACCAACAATTTCCCCGATGTGCAAAGAAAATGTAGCACGATAAATATTGACCCCCAAACGAATGGATCCATTGTTATGTATTAAACCATATGTGGATGTAGTCATTATGATGGCAGGCCTGTCCGTACCCTTCTCCGTTGTAGAAGCCCCCGAGCACCACGGTGTTCCACAGTGGATTCATGCGGCTGCGGCGGTTGTACATGACGCGGGTGAGCCACGAGTGAACGGCTTTGGGGCTGTAAGAGTGACCGTCTCCCAGGAGCTCCTCATCGATCCTGCAGAGAGGAGACACCGTCAGGCAACACAACACAACACAACACAAAACAACACAAGACAACACACTGTCGGCTGTGACGCTGATACTCTGCAGCTGACATCATCAACCTTCCCTGGGAGTGTGAAGGTAACTAAAGGCTCTTCTGCGTCTGAAGCTGTTACGCAAGTTGGACTTTTATCTGAGTTTTGTTTTAACACAATTTTACTATAAAGAACTGACTTAGCTGGAACTCTTAACAGGTGAGCTGATTTGTGCTGTGAAACAAACCCTCACATTAAACAAAGAATCAGCCAACAGTTTTTCAGTTAGTTTCTCTTATCTTTTTGTTGAAACTCAAACTCTTAAACAGAACCATGCATGCCGAGGACTGATTATAGGCTTCTCAAAATGTGCCGTTTAATGCTGCATTCATTTATCTGTACATCTCCCACTCGGATCTCGGATATGACGTCATGTCTGCGCTTCAACTGTTTTATTATGTTTCGTGTGTCCGACTCGGGGAAAAACATAGACGCTAACCAGAAAGCTAAGTAAATTGTATAATTCAGTGTAAATAGTCTAATTCAGTATATTAGTGAAATGAAAGAGTTGGTGTCACGAGATAGTTGATCATTTTGGTACGTTAGCAGGAAATGAGCCAAAAACATGCAAGATACCAACTGCCAATACAGACACAGTAAGGTACTGCAGTAATTCAAGTGACTGAAATTGTCGTTTAAACCACCAAACCATCCATTTACAATGAAAACTGTTCATACAAGTGACACTGGACACAACCATCGTAGATTCTATCTTGGAATCTTTGCTCAGTCTCCTCTGAGTTCTTCCGAGTTCCGCCATCCGCGGAAAGTGAAAGTGAACCATTCTGTATCTTTTGAGTTTTCAGACATTGTTTGATAATGTGTGCATTGTGTCACCATGACAACTGCTGAACCCCCCCAGCATGATGTCACTACAAAGTATCAATATTGGGGGATTTCCAGTTGGAGGGTGTGATTATGTCACGCTCAAATGGGGAGTTAAGACTCATTTATGCTCTGCGCGGTTTGGTCCGTCCTCTGCACAGTTCGGTCCGTAATCTGGCCCATCTCAGAACTGGAATCACTGAAGCTGTACATGAGCTGACCACTGGGGGCAGTAGTGAACACATCTATACAATAGAAGCTAAACTTTTAAAAAAGTGTCTGCAGCCAGCTGCAAAATAAATGCTCCTTTGACCTAGTTTTCTAAGCTCCTTTCCAACAGATCTGATCTAAAACCTGCCCTGAGCGCCTGCATGTTTGTTTATGTGTTGCTCTATTTTGTCCATTAAATCTCCAACTTTTAACGCCCTCTGATGGTTATTTAACACAACACAGCCTTGACAGAAAAGTAAGTAGGAAGTATATTGTAAATGCAGTGATGGTTATTACACTTGGAATGCATGCATCTGTTTACGTACAAAGGTGGAGCAGAAATGAGCCTCTACAATATTCAAAGAGAAATAGAGAAGAGAGCTGCTTACACCATCTGCTCGATGACCTGTTTAAGATACTGATAATCTGCATAGTCTCCAGATGCTCCAAGTATCGTGTTGTTGTTCACCTGAAAATTAACAAAAAAAAAGTGATTTTAAAAAGTCATATTTTGTGTTGTTGTTTTATATTTAAATATCACATTCTTTTACCTTCATGAGGCGAGAAATGTTCCTGAACCGCGCCAGAGAACCGTATGAACCCAACATGTCTGCAGCGATCATCACACCACCATTAAACTTCACACCCAGAACTGAGGTCCCGGTCACCATGGGATTACTGCACAAAACACCAACAAGATGTGAGAGGAGCCGTAGTTGTGTTATAAACCTACACAATGCACATTTTTATTAGATATTATTTTTATAGATATATTATACATAATATATAGCTTTCTACACCTTCATTTTAACTAAAAATGTAAGCAAGGATGAGTAAGGTTCAGGCATGAATAAGACAAGAAAAATACATTTACTGGATACAAACATTACAATAGTTTAAACCGCAGCCAGCTACATCATTGTCTGTTGGTTCAGGGCCCTCTCTCTGTCTAGTAGAACTCGTCTGGCTCGGTTGGTCAAAATGGCAGGTAAAATTATAGTCTTACTGAGTAGGAAATCTACAACAGAAGGGGGATTTGCAATGCCCAACAAATACTGGAGAGCCCTGAACACCCGCTCTCAGCCGAGTTCTCAACTCAGAGAACTCGGACTTCTTTTATTTCTGAAGCCAGAACTAGAATGAATGCTCTTACAGCCTGGATCAGTCGTGGTGAAATGCGGTTACATCTTCTATTCTTTTGGACTATTTATAAGGGAATGTTTGTTTACACTGTTAAGCTGTGTTACTGAACTGTATTGTCCGTCTACTGTGTGCCTCACACTGCTGCACAACAATTGCCCTCTGCGACAAGAATAAGGATGGAAGTTGAATCAGAGAAAATTCCACACTATTGACCAAGTCTCACTTTTGGTTTCGTTTTTGATTTACGCTTCCTTTTAAACGTCTAGATAAATTGTTAATATTACAAAAGGCATACGGAGGTGCTGAGCTGTATGTAAATTATGTTTAATGATGATCTGAGGAGTTTATTTAGAGCACTTAGCCGTTAGCTTAGCATGACTCGGCTCCTGTCTGTGCTGGCGCATAGACAGCCGGAAAAAACCGTTTTTCCACTGTCTCCGGTGGGTCAAACTCACAGCGTGTGTCTAACGGGTCCGCAGGCCGCTCCGGAGCCCACCCCGCCGCCACTGACCCCGGGGAAAGAGTAAAACTGTCCCGGCTTCGGCCCGTCCTCCCAGAAACTCAGCTTCACTCCGCACGACTCCATCTTGGATCTAACAGAAATTGACGCAGGAAGTGACGACAGGGGCGTTATTCTGGAGCGTCATACGTGAGTAGACGTCATTACGTCTTTCATTTAGTTTTCTTTATTAGGTATGATCTACCGAAAAAAAAAAAAAAAAAGGTTTGATCTAACGTGAGTTATTTTATTATATGTTTCCATAATCTTCTTTTCCACTATATTATGAATGATCGTGAATGTCTGTTTTATGTAGTGTTTATATTGTATATATTAAAAAAAACAACAACAAAAAAACAAAACAAAAAAAACGCTGCATTAAAAAAATAGCGAGAACGAAAGAGATTGATATGAAATGTATTTTATGTTTTTTTTTGTTTTTTGTTTTTTTTAGTGTTTCTTATTTCCTACTACTATTATTATTTATTTATTATTCAAGGGTGACCAGACATCCCTATTTATCAGTATTTACTAAACTATGATTAAAACAGAACTACATCAGGTCTAAACCAGGACTAAACTAAGATTAAACCAGAACTACATCAAGTCTAAACCAGGACTAAACTAAGATTAAATCAGAACTACATCAGGTCTAAACCAGGACTAAACTAAGATTAAATCAGAAATACATCAGGTCTAAACCAGGCCTAAAATGGGACTATCACAATTTTTGACAAATCTGATCCCTGGCAACACTACAGAGGAGAATAAATTCAATAAATGCAGTCATTTGTTTTGCCAAAATACAGAAATACATGTTTACGAATGACCAGGGAGGCAAAAAAATGCAGCAACAGAAGTCCCTCAGATTATGACGAGAATGCACAATCTTACACGCTCTTTTCACAGTTTGACTTATATCGACCCAGGTGTGTCCCAGTTTAGAAATTTGAAAATCTGGTCACCCTGTATTAGAATGTTGTCTATTTTTGCTATTGCCCAACTTGCCATAAAGAAAGAGAGAGACTGATCCAGGTAACCAGGTGAACGTGACAGGAAGGGCCTCACTCTTAGTTCACTCTAGTGTTTCGGTTGGTGATGAAAGAGCCATCTCCTCAACAAGTTTCAAAACCTGCTCAGTTTGTGAGTACCGCCAACACTCTAGACCTTTGAAATGACTTATGATGGATTAGACCAATTTCATAGCTAGATTTTACTAAAATTGTGCTTGGATTGTTTTAATTTTTTTGTAATGTTGGCAAAGTTACCAAGCAACCACAATACCAATGCCTGGACGACAGAGGGACGACTGAAGGATTTCACACAAAAAAATAGCAATCATAATGTAAACAAGGGCCAAGTCTTGTCAAAACCTGTAATAGGTGTGATTTGACAACAGTTATTTACTTAAATGAAGATTTAAAATGTCAGAGAAATTCCTTCCTTGTGTGTAAAACAGTGCATTTTGGATGGAGTTTTCTGTGTTGATTACATAGGTAAAGGGAGTCTCAACTCAATGCTATACTTCTTGTATTTTCCAACTTTTTGCTCTCTACTTTTTTTCATAAACTGTAACTTAAAAAAAAAAAACTATGTTAAAAATTTTACACATTTCCCAAACCGAGTGCAATGCATTTTAAAGAATATTGCAGACTCCACAATCTGATGAGATGTCTGTGTAATCCTCAGTCGTCCAGATAGAATCCATACAAATGAAAAATTCAATTCAGTTCTTTGGCTATAATCTGATGAAAGTGATCAGAGGGACCGTGATCAGAATGATCTGGTTTTGAGTGCATGTGAGTGCAGACAGTGAAATCTCAGAGTTTAATCTTGTTCAAATAAAAGATAAATGACACTGACAGCATGTTTAATAACAGGCCCACAGTAAGAAGCAAATTCAGACTCAACAACAAGAACAACATACACACACGCGCGCACACACACACACGCACGCACACATACACACTATACACATGCATATGCACGCACACACACTATACACACACGCACGCATGCACACACACACTATACACACACACACTATACACACTATACACACATACGCACACACGCACGCACACACACACTATACACACACGTACGCATGCACACACACACTATACACACACACACACTATACACACACATACGCATGCACGCACACACACACACACACACACACACACACACACACACACTATACACACGCATACGCACGCATGCACACACACACAGACCATACACAGAACACAGACCAACCCAACACACATCATTTCAAAGAAAAGGTTTCAGGTACGCTTTATTATTTCCCCATAGAGAAATTGTCCTCTGCATTTGACTCATTCTTCAACATCATTTGTACACTTACTCAGTGTACAGTGGGAGTACTGTTACACTACTATATACAGTTGCAATCAAAATTATTCAACCCCAACTGCAAATTTGTTTTATTGGTAAAATGTTCAAACTATCAGCTGTTTACAAAAAGAACTCAAACTAGAACAATTTAAATAGCTCAACACAACTAATACTACAAGTGGTTTCTCCAAAGTCTACTAAGACTACTGCAGTCTCAAAATGATTCAACCCTTTCATGACAAGCATCTTAAGTACTTAGTAGAGCATCCTTTTGCTGATATGACCTGTTGCAAACGTGATGCAGCCAGACACCAGCTTCTGGCAGCATTCCTGAGGAATCTTAACCCATTATTAATGGGCAAAGGCCTCCAGTTCACTAATATTCTTGGATTTGCGTGCTACAACTGCCTTTTTCAAATCCCACGAGAGATTTTCAATGGGTCATGTGACTGTGATGGCTACTCTAGTATCTTCCAGGACTTCTTCTGAAGCCAATACTTTGAGGTATGCTTACGTTCATTGTCCCGTTGGAAGATCCAATGACGCCCAACCTTCAGTTTCCTCACAGATGGCATGACATTTTCCCAGGATTTCCTGATACTTGATTGAATTGATTTCCACACTCTGCAGGTTTCCAGTGTCAGAGAAAGTGAAGCAGGCCCAGAGCATCATTGACCCACCGCCATGCGTCACTGTAGGCAGGGTGTTCTTTTCAACTCATGCTTCATTCTTTCTCCTTCAGATGTACCGCTGATCAGTAGGGCCAAAAAGTTAAATTTTTGTTTCATCGCTCCACAGAACAGAATCACCAAACCTCTTTAACTTATTTATATAGTTTTGAGCAAACTGGAGTCAACTTTTCTTGTGCCTTTGGGTCAATAGTGATCTATGTCATGGAACCCTTCAACGTTTAGTATGCACTTTACTGTGGAAAGTGAAACCTCAGTGCCTGCTGCCACCAAGTCTTGCTGCAGGTCTTTTGCAGTCAGTCAAGGCTTTCTTACTACCTGCCTCCTCAGGACTCTGGTGGCAGCCATTAGTTAGTTTACTCTTCTGCCACGTTCAGGTAGTGTAGCCACTGTTCCTTTAACTTTAAACTTTTGAACTCTGCTTCCAGCTGTATCTTTAAGAACATTCAGTGCCTTTGCTATATTTTTGTATCCTTCTCCTTGTTTGTGCAAGACAATGATTTCTTCTCTGAACTTTTTGGACTATTTTCTTAACATATTTCTAACATGCAATGAAATGTCACCGTCAACCATCCAGATATTTGAGGGCTTCTATGTTAAGTACACCTGATGCAACTAATGAAGCCCTTGACTGGTTGCATCTGGTGTGCTGGAGACCTCACCTGATTTGCCAAAATACGCTCTCATGAGGAATTTTATTCAGGGGTTGAATCATTTTGAGACTGCAGAAGTCATTAAAAGTAACATTTTGTGTTGACTTTGGAGAAACCACTTGTAATATTAGTTGTGTTGAGCTATTTAAATTGTTCTTGTTTGATTTCTTTTTTGTAAACAGCTGATAGTTTGAACATTTGACCGATAAACCAAATTTGCAGTGGGGGTTGAATAATTTTGCTGTATTACTCAAGTAAGAGTACTGTTACACTGCACTATATATTACTCAAGTAAGAGTATTTTTACACTTCAGTATATATTACTCAAGTACTGTAAATACTGTAAACCTCAATAAAAATATCACTCAAGTATGGGTAGAAGTATATGGCTTGAAAAGTACATTTTCTTTCAAAAGTGGCTCAAGTAAATGTAGCTGAGTAGCACCTTTGCTTCTGTTTCCGATGTGCCTTTGGACCACATGTCCTCGTGTTGTTTGTTTGCTCTGGCATGGCTCAGCTCAGTCTGGCCTTGGTCATAAGGTGAACAAAGGTGATCAGCTCCATGAGGTTTGAGAGTTTAACACAGAATTTGTCTCACACACACAAGCACGCATGCACACACACACACACACACACACACGCACACACACACACGCACACACTCACACTTCTGAATCCTACGTGTATCACTGATTAAGAAAATCAAAGTGGAGAATAACGTGCATATGTCTCAGTGGGCGTGTACCAGTGGAGCTGAAAAGAGGGTTCGGTAAAATGGTGTATTAAGTGATTAAAAACCTCTTACTGTTCTGAGGGACCATGCGTTGGTGTGCTGCTGATAAAAGGAACTCTCAATCTCATGGACATGTAAAACATTAATAGAAATCTGTAACTCACTTATTTTTAGTTAAATCAACCATTCTGAGAAGAATCTGGATCAATTTGTCTCCAAACCAAAAAAAAATAAAAATCACAAAATGTTATATTAATTTATCACTGGATTTATATAGCACCTTTCAGCTATACCTATTCTTATATTTACCCCTAATAGCTTGTTCCCACTTAGAATCAGACTCTTATAATGAAGAGATCAGACTCTTATAATGAAGAGATCAGACTTTTATAATGAAGAGATCAGACTCTTATAATGAAGAGATCAGACTCTTATAATGAAGAGATCAGACTTTTATAATGAAGAGATCAGACTCTTATAATGAGAGGAAATCTGACAGAACTGCTCAGATTTTCCAGGTACAGTGAAGACTATCTGTGAGGAGGAACAAAGCCAGTGAGCTCATAATAAGGTGATTACTGAGGTACCCCGGAAGGTTCCACAGTATAGCTTTGTACATAAATATGAACTATATGCTGTTTTCTGCAAATTGTTACTGATGTCCAGCCAACTAACCCACAGATAATGCAGTGGTGAGAAACTCAGCACCGCTGATGCATGAGACCCAAGGTCCACTTTGTGCTGAGTGGAAGGTGAAGCCTGCATATACAAAGTATCACCATAGTCCAGAACAGAAAGAAAAGTTGCTTTCACCATTTCTCAGCTCTAAAAGAAAAGCAATGTTTGTGTTTAAAATAGAAACCAATTGTTTGTTTTAGTTTAAGAGAGATAGCTCAAAAAGGCATGAATCACTCCAAATACAACTTCAGGTGAGTAAATGGTAGGTTTCCCCTCACCATCTATAACAGTACTAAAACACTCTTGTAGATTAGGACTGATTTAAGGACATACACAGATGTGCTTGTGCCACCACAGCCTTCATGAGGGCTCAGTGCTGAAGGTATAGGGTCATGACATTTAAACATGGAGACACTCCTGTGAAATTACTGCAGAAACACTCAGGCACATGTCTATTCCTCCCCAGAGTTCTGCTCTACTCCAGCTCTGCTCTAGCTTTATGTTGTACTGCTACACATGTTAAAGAGGGGGTATTCTGCAAAATATTTTTATTTTTTATTTTTTATTACCTTTCTACTGTGTTATAATGTTCCTTCATCTAAAACATACGTGAAAGGCTTTTAGATGTCATTCATGCATGTTTGACTATGTAACAGCCCAGACAGCAACTTTAGTGAGAAAAGGAAAAACAGTATGTATATATATTTTTATTGGTGATTTCGATTCAAGAATCCTCCGTTTTCTCCTTCTCTTCCGCAGCAGACTTCTTGTGACAAAAATCTGAAGGACACACAGATATGAGAGTTTGAGGACTGTTATGTCATCCTTGCTTGTAAGTTTATTTATTAGCTTGTTGTTTGTTTACCCGCCTTCCCGTCATAGCTCCACTCCCCGAAGTTGTCTCCGCTCAGGTTCAGGCACTGAGCCAGTCTCCTGTTCTCCTCCAAATCCTTCAGAACCTCCACTTCACTGTGATTTCCCTCTCTCCCTGTAGAAAACCAGGTCAGAACCAAGACTAAACCAAAACTAAACTAAGGTTAAACTCAAGCACTTTTAAAATACAGTGCTGTACAAACTTAAAATAAACCAGGAGTAAACCAGATCAGAACCAGGACTGAGCTAGACCTAAACTGGAACTGAGCCAAGGCTAAACCAAGACTAAAACCAGGACTAAAACTGGACTAAACCAGGACTAGACCAGGAGTACACAGGACTAAACCAACACTGACTGTAGGAGAGCAGGAAGGTCCCATAGGGCTTGCTGTGGTAGAGGGTTGTCATGGTGTGCTCTGATGCGTGGACGAACTCTAATGTGGACGAGTCGTCGAACTGCTTCACCTCTCCGTCTTTGTGCAACACTGAAACCACACATAGCGTGAGTGTGTGTGGGCATGAGAGTATGAGAGCGTGAGAGCATGACAGTATGAGAGCATGAGAGACACACACAGACACACGGGGGTATAAGAGGAAGGGAGGGCATCCGACACACTCACCTGCCCCCTCGATGTGCAGGGCATGGGGGCCGTGGTGGTGGTGGTCGCTGTGGTTGCTGTGGGGGCCATGTGGGCCATGGTCACTGTGGTTGCTGTGGTGGTGGTGGTCGCTGTGGGGGCCATGTGGGCCATGGTCACTGTGGTTGCTGTGGTGGTGGTGGTCGCTGTGGGGGCCATGTGGGCCATGGTGGTGGCCGTGGTGGTGGTGGTGGCCATGGTTGCCGTGGTGGCCGTGGTGGCCATGGTGGCCGTGGTGATCGTGGTGGCCGTGGTGATCGTGGTGACCATGGTGGCCGTGGTGGCCGTGGTGGCCGTGGTGATCGTGGTGGTCATGGTGGCCGTGATGGCTGTGGTCGCTGTCGTTGTGGTGGTCACTGTGGGGCACTGTCAGGTTCATGATGTACTCGGCACATTTTCCGTCTCTGAAAATGAAAAAACAAAATGGAGCTGGAGGTGTCAGATGGAGGACGGGGAGGTGATCCCCTGATTTTAAAAGAAAGTTAAATTCATAAACCCAAACTCAGCCTTTGGGCAACTCAAAAGTGACATGAGTGCCCTGCCAACGGGGCTGGATTTAACAGGAATTAATTCATTTAACAGGAGAAGCAGCCACAATGTGTGGAAATACTGTTTTGTTCACTTCTATACTCAGAGTGTGACAAGCTTTACAACCGACCACTATCACACCTTCATTCTGTACCCCATGAGCCTTTCACACACAAACCCTGCATATTTATGCAAACAGAAACACTCTGTTCCACCTTGTGATGTCATGTGGTAATATAGGAAGTGTTCCTCTTTTTAAACTCCATACACTTTCACTAGAATCATTTGGATGGTTTCAGCCCTGGAATCTCTACTGAACTAAAGGACCTGCTAACTTGAAAACTACCACTTCATTACATCACAGGGTGAAACAGAGCATTTTGAGCTTTGAAGATGTTGACTAATTGCTGGGGTTCAGATGACAACATTCTATGGACCAGAAATTCATTACATTTTTGTTCAAATGCAGATTTCCTTTGTAAGACAGTGAGCTCTTGGCTCTAGTCAGTAATAGAAATGACCAGGTTCAACATTTGTTCATTTTCTTTTTAGGTATTTCATAGTAAAGTACTATGTCATTAATAGGGAAATGTGTTTCTTGCCCCCATCTGGAAGTATGACATTGTCACATTCTAGAATCTGAAAACCACCAACACTCTAAACATGTGTGAATGAAACAAAATAACTCCAGGTCTGTTTTAGAAGGGGTAACAGTGTTATAAGAGTCCATTTTGTGTAATATAGGACCTTTAATGATTCATTTAATAAGGAATCAGGTTAAGACTCAGGGTTCAGACATCTAGTCCAGGTCTAGTCCTGGTCTAGTCCAGGACTTACCCGTAGACGTTGCGTTCATGGAAGGTCAGGCTGTGTTTGGACCGGACTCGGAGCTCCACATGAGAACTTGCGAAACCTGGCAACGGGTCCACCTCAGGACGTTTGGTCTTATCATAGACAAGCCAGGCCAAGACCCAGTCCCCCTCCACCTGGGTACAAACAGGGTTAGTCCTGATTTAGTGCTGGTTCAGTCCTCCTTTAGTCCTGATTTAGTTCTGTTCAGTCCTATTTAGTTCTGGTTCAGTGCTGGTTTAGTCCTAGTTTAGTTGGGGTCTAGTTATGACTTTATCCTAGTTCAGTCCCAGTTTAGGCCAGGTTAAGTCCTAGCACAGCCCGGCTTTAGTCCTAGTTTAGTCTTGGTTCATTCCTGCTTTAGTTCTGGTTCAGTGCTGGTTTAGTCCTTGTTCAGTCCTGGTCCAGACCTTGTGTAGCTCTTCTGGACTCAAGGTCTCGTTGCAGGCCAGGTCATTGGCCTGACTCCAGACCAGGACCAGGGCCAGACTGAGGACTCCCAAAGTGGACTTCATCTTGACTCAGAGTGAGTCTGATCTCACAGTGTTTATACGCCTCAGAATGACCAATCAGAGTGTGGTGTGTGTTTGAACTGACCAGTCATATGACTGGTTTGACTGGCATTGATTTTAGAGTAGGATTTTGTTTGTAAAGTGATAGCAGTACTACTAGTAGTAGTTGTTGTGTCATTCTTTATTATCTAACCTGTCCCTGTCTCTAACCTGTCCCTGTCTCTAACCTGTCCCTGTCTCTAACCTGTCCCTGTCTCTAACTTGTCCCTGTTTCTAACTTGTCCTTGTCTCTAACCTGTCCTTGTCTCTAAATGGAAGTGTATTTTGACACACACATTGGCTAGCACTCATGCCTCACAGCAAGAAGGTTCTGGGTTTGATCCCCGGGTCGCCCGGGCCTTTCTGTGTGGAGTTTGCATGTTCCTCCCCGTGTCTGGATGGGTTTCCTCCGGGCGCTCCGGTTTCCCCCATCAACCCAAAACATGCTCCAGGTCTCCATGAACAGTTGATAGTCATGGTCAGTTAAAAACAATCAATTCAATCATTGTGTCCTTAGGCAAGACACTTCACCCACATTGCCTAGTATGAAAGTGGTGTGTGTGTGAGTGATGGTGGTGGTTGGACGGACAGATGGCGCCGATTGGCATGGCAGCCGTGCTTCTGTCAGTCTGCCCCAGGGCAGCTGTGGCTACTATAGTAGCTTACCATCACCAGAGTGAATGGTGGTATAGAGTGAATGTATGAATGAATGCTGAATGAATAATGCTGAATAATGCTCTGTAAAGCGTCTTTGGGGACAGAAAATGTCTGTGAAAAGCGCTATATAAATAAAGAATATTACATTACATTACATGTGAATATTACAATGAAATTGCAAGAAAACAACCAACCGGGTCATTTTTGACCCACTTATGCATCTAAGGGTTAATGTGGGTAGGTCTTATAGCTTTGTAACTAGAACCACTTGATTCCCTGACCCTGAAAATGTGGGTTTAGCAGTTAAAATCAACATTTCAACTTATTCAGAGGTGAGATATTTCAAAAAGAGTTTTTTGGCGGCCATTTAAAAAAAATTCAATATGGCCACCATATAGACATGTGGGCAAATGCAAACATTGATTTTCTGACTCCATATACTATAACCTTTCCAAAAATATATAGTTTAGCAAATCCTCCCAAAAATTCCCACTAAGGTTAAAAAATGAATATAAGGAACCGGACTAAATTGAACTTTAATTGTGGGTGCACACCAAGAAGAAAATATAAAAATGAGTGCAATTGTGCCCCCTAGAAAATGTGTATGGAACAATAACATTTTGTTAGTTGTGTTATCAGTGTCAGTGTTGTGTCACTAACAGCGTCACTAACAGTGTCACTAACAGTGTCACTAACAGCGTCACTAACGGCGTCACTAACGGTGTCACTAACAGCGTCACTAACATTGTCACTAACAGCATCACTAACAGCGTCACTAACAGTGTCACTAACAGTGTCACTAACAGTGTCACTAACAGTGTCACTAACAGCATCACTAACAGTGTCACTAACAGTGTCACTAACGGTGTCACTAACAGCGTCACTAACATTGTCACTAACAGCATCACTAACAGTGTCACTAACAGTGTCACTAACAGTGTCACTAACAGTGTCACTAACATTGTCACTAACAGCATCACTAACAGCGTCACTAACAGTGTCACTAACGGTGTCACTAACAACGTCACTAACAGTGTCACTAACAGCGTCACTAACAGTGTCACTAACAGCGTCACTAACGGCGTCACTAACGGTGTCACTAACAGCGTCACTAACATTGTCACTAACAGCATCACTAACAGCGTCACTAACAGTGTCACTAACAGTGTCACTAACAGTGTCACTAACATTGTCACTAACAGCATCACTAACAGTGTCACTAACAGTGTCACTAACAGTGTCACTAACAGTGTCACTAACAGCATCACTAACAGTGTCACTAACAGTGTCACTAACAGTGTCACTAACAGCATCACTAACAGCGTCACTAACAGTGTCACTAACGGTGTCACTAACAGCGTCACTAACAGTGTCACTAACAGCGTCACTAACAGTGTCACTAACAGTCTCACTGACAGTGTCACTAACATTGTCACTAACAGCATCACTAACAGCGTCACTAACAGTGTCACTAACAGCGTCACTAACAGTGTCACTAACAGCGTCACTAACAGTGTCACTAACAGCGTCACTAACGGTGTCACTAACAGCGTCACTAACATTGTCACACGTCACTAACAGCATCACTAACAGTGTCACTAACAGTGTCACTAACAGCGTCACTAACAGTCTCACTGACAGTGTCACTAACAGCATCACTAACAGTGTCACTAACAGCGTCACTAACAGTGTCACTAACAGCATCACTAATGGTGTCACTAACAGCATCACTAACAGTGTCACTAACAGCATCACTAACAGTGTCACTAACAGCATCACTAACAGTGTCACTAACGGTGTCACTAACGGTGTCATAAACATTTTTGCTAATGACCCAACACTTGAATGGCAGCAATAATTTATCATGAAGCTGTTAAACCAGGTCTGAAGCAAGACTGAACTAAGACTGAACCAGGACTGAACCAGGACTAAACCAGGACTAAATCCGGACTAAAATGGGACTAAAACAGGACTGAACCAGGACATCATACTAAAATAGTTCTGTAAGCTCTAAGCCCAGTCTGTTCAAGTGAGAAAGGTTAAAAGCCCCAGACCCAGAAAATGGGAATTGAACTGTACCACTCTGCCACAGGCTAACCACTCTGCCACATTTCACAGAACAGATGACACAAAATGAGACTTTAGATCTTTATTCGTTTCTGCTGCTTCACGAATGCTCTTTGTGACAGAAACCTGAAAAACAGGAAATAAAAGTTACTTGATTCAAGTGTTCAGTATTGATCATCTATTGATACTTTGCAGCTGATTTCATATTTCATCAACATTCCTTGGGGGTGTGAAGTTAACTGGGGGCACTGCTCTGTCTGAAGCTCTGTTACTCAAGTTATACTTTAATGTGAGTTTAGCACAATTTGACCACAGGCTCCTAAAAATTTGTTGTATTAAAATGTTTTTTTTTCCAGACTGTCTTAAAACTTTTTTTGGCTGTGTGTAAGATTTGTGTCACCATGGTAACTGTTGAAGATTCTGTCAGTAGACATACATGTAGAACACCCCCAGCGTGATGTCACTACAAAGTGTCAATAAAATAATAATAATGTAATAATAATAATAATCGAACAGTGTCTAAAGTTCTGACCTGAGGTTCCGTCGTAGTGGAATGCCGGCTCCGTGGGGAAGCCCAAACACTCGGCTCGTTTATGGAATGCGCCATGTTCTTTCTTCGCCGCCTCCACCTCAGCGTGATGCCCCTCCCTCCCTGAAACAAGAACCAGGTCTGAACCGGGTCTGAACCAGGACTAAAACAGAGCTAAACCAGGTCTAAACCAGGACTGACCCAGGGCTTAGCCAGGGCTAAACCAGATCTGAAGTAGGACTCACTGTAGATGAGGAAGAAGTTGTTCCATCCATCGCTCCTGAAGATCATTGTCAGGCAGTGGTCACAGCTCCGGAAGAACGAGATCGTCACGTTATCATGGAACGGTGCCACCTTCCCCTCATACTCACCCACTTCACAATAAGAGCGATTAAATCAGTCAAACTTCACAATAAAAGCACAGAGGAGAAAAAAGCGACAATAGGAGCACAGTGAGGAGAGACACTTCACATTAAGAGTGTGTCCACTTTGCAGTGGACTCAAAAGTGACCACCATCTCACATGTTCTGGAAGTACATTTCTCATTGTTTTTTTCCCCATAGACTTCTGGAAAAAAAAAAGTTTGAAGTTCTCCCTGTGTCTGTGCGGAGTTTCATGTTCTCCCTGTGTCTGTGTGGAGTTTCATGTTCTCCCTGTGTCTGTGTGGAGTTTCATGTTCTCCCTGTGTCTGTGCGGAGTTTCATGTTCTCCCTGTGTCTGTGTGGAGTTTCATGTTCTCCCTGTGTCTGTGTGGAGTTTCATGTTCTCCCTGTGTCTGTGCGGAGTTTCATGTTCTCCCTGTGTCTGTGTGGGTTTCCTCCAGCTGTGGTCCTGACCAAGAGATGGTGGCGCTGCTGCTCCTGAGGACCATTTCACAGAATCTTGTGTTTTAAAGCAGAACTAAGTAACATTTTTACCGTAATTAATGTCTTTCAGAGACCCTCTGATGTTACATAATGACATTTTGGGGTGCTTGAAGGGTACACTGGCACCACCAGATGACTCTGGGCAGAAAAAAACAGACATGCAACTTTGTTGCCACTGACCCGGTGTCAGCTCTCAGGACTCTGTTCTCGTTCTCGCGAGAGCCAAATTGCTTTACGGCACGTCAACATACAAACAGGTGAGCGAGCTGTGACACACCTCTTACTGACGCTCTTCGCGTCAGATTACTGCAAGAATAAATATCTAGTGTTTATTTGTGAGATGTCAGCCACGGCACAACCAGCTCAGAAACAGCTGAAGCCTTTGACCAAGGACACAAGGAAAAGAAAACGTGAATCGAACAGAGCCCGAGTTCACAGGAGTTAATGTGGGAAAGGCATTTGAGGAACAACAGAGTTCAAGGAAAGAGAAAGAGCGACGCAGATCTGGAGATATTGTTATTGAACACGTAAGGTTCATGTGCATTGCTCATTTCACTGTTATAGTTATGTAACTTGAGTAATTGTTAGTTTTAGTGCACGGTTATCTTGTTCGTAGATGCTGTTATTAGCATGCTTCTTTTTTCAGGTTTCAGCTGAACCATCAGACTGACACATGTTTGTATAAATCCTTTGATTGGAGCGGCTCATGTCTCATCTGCATGCAGGATGTGTACAGCAATGTGTACAATAATGATATTGATTTAAAGAGTAAAATAACATTATCCACCTGAGATATTTTGTTGCCTACAGTGTTCACTGGCTTTGTGGAAACAAATGTGAGCACTCAGCTGAGCGGTGGGGAGCGTATTTAAGTATTTACAACAGTGCATTTTCACAAATGACCTGTTGGGAGAGCACTACCGCCGAAGTTACTTAGTTCTGGTTTAAATGTGCTTTTTGGACTTAAAACAACCTTAGCATGTAGCTGGTCAGCCTCTGCAATGCCTTTGAACTCTCAGTATTTGTTATTAAAAAAAGTATGAATGGAAAATGTACTTCTGGAACAGGAGCAAGCGCCACAAGAGTGGCACTTAGTAAAACTTTACAATAAGATCACAGAGAGGGGAGAAACTTCATAATAAGAAAGTGAAAATTAGCAAATGTTCACAATTTTTTTAAAAAGAGAGAGAAAAAATCACAATAAATTGAACAAAATACACACAATGTGTTTTATTGTGAAGAAGACTCACCTCCTTCATGTGTTTCCAGTGTGAGGTCGTGCTTCTCGCCCCCCTTCACCACAGTCAGATTCATCTCGAAGTAAGAACAATTGAACACCTGACCCCTGAAACCAACAGAGTCCTGGTTTAGTTCTG